AGAGAGAGAGAGAGAGAGAGAGAGAGAGAGAGAGAGAGAGAGAGAGAGAGAGGGGAAAGAAATGGAAAAAAGAAGAAGAAAAAGGATGAAAAATAAAAAAAAGGAAAAAAAGGAAAAATTCATTAAATTTTTTACTCAAACGTAGCCAATTTTATCATTTGATTTCGTACATGTTTGATGAACATTTGAAACGATTGACACAGTCCTTCATAATGCTGATTGATTTAAAAAAAATTCTGATCAAGTCAGTTTCGCTTTGGGACAAGATAAATACCACCTCGTTCCTCGGAACGGGGTTGTCTTCGAAAATCCTGGATTAAATCTGATTTTTACCTCGGTTTAAGCCTTGGAAACCGTTGACACATTTCCATTGAAAACAGGAATATTTGCCATTTTGAATTGTGATTATATTTGCCTGAGATCTGAGACACAAATTTATGCAAATATTCAAATTTATTCCGTTTTTTTCGTGCTTTTGGATTACTTTCCGTCTTTTTCTCATAATTTTATTTTCGCCTTTGTCATTTTTCGGTTTTTCGTTTGTTTTTTTTTGTGCTCTTTTTCTCCTTTTCTCAAAGACCTTCCTTTTTCCGTTTGCCACGTGCATTTCAATTCCATGTCGGCAAAGATAAAAAGCAATAAATCGTCTCCTTTTCCATGAGAAGGTTCGAATTGAATTTCACGTGAGAAAATTGTCACAAATTTCCTCTTCAGTTCATTGAAAATGTATGTGCTCGAATAACTATCAATGCTAATTCCGAAGCCGTATAATGTTCGTTCTGTACTTTTGTTTCATTTTTGAATCGTAATAAAGGATTTGTGTTCATGTCTTATGCTGTACGGTACAATGAAAATACAGTCCAAATTGATACCATCACAAGATAAGACTATAGCAAGAGATCGATTGCAAGCCATTGCAATTGAATCCATTCAAAAGGGAACGAATTCTCGAGACGATTGAGCGTAAATGCTTTCTCGTTGTTGAATTTCACCCTTTTGAAACAAATGCGTTGCGTGTGTTATGTGTTTCCTCCAGCAATCACATCCAATATAGACTTGGAATGAAGAAACCGTAGAAATGTGTGACTGAATATTAATTTTGGTTCTTTTTATTTTTTCTTCCAGGGTTCATCCAACTCATACGCCATTAAAAAGAAAGACGAATTGGAACGTGTTGCAAAATCAAATCGTTAAACATACCAACCAAACCTTCACCACACACTTTTTTACGCATTTTACGAATGTTCTTCGTTTATTTGTCTGAAGGAATTCCTATAAGCAAAATGGGCGTAAATAAATAATTAACAAAAAAGAAACAAAAAATTGAGAAAACCGGCAGTTTTATTTCTTTCTTCCTTTTTCTCCATTCAATACAAAAACTTTATTTTACTTGCATTTTTTTTTCTTTTCACGTGGCATAAGCTGTTTTCTGACAACAACAGCACCATCATCAACAATAACACAGAAAAAATGTGTAGAACAAAGAAAATCCAAGCTTTTTTCTTAAATATGGTCACATTCACTTGATTATTCTAACTAGCCTGCTGTGTACAGTAAAATATACCTAATTTGTTTGTGTATTTTTGTAAAATAATTTCGTTCATGGCTTTTCAAGTATTTTGAATGCTTTTTCTTTAGATTTTGGAAGAGAAACGTGCAGAATGGATGATTTAAACTGGAATTTTTCCAAATTCAACCGGAAGAAACCAAATTTAAAAAAAAAAATGTTAAAATGACAATATATCAAAGTAATCTAGGCATGTGGGTGTGTCAACTGTAATACAAACATCTTGGATATTGGTAACATGTAATTTTCTCGTAGGAAATCTGATGATTCTAATCAACAATTTTTAACGGCAAACATATTTCATCCCATTTATCTCTGTCACATAAGTACGCTAAATTTGCAAAGATGCTGTAAAAATATAATTCATATCCTATAGATATTTCTATACACAAACTGGAATAAACACAAAATTCAATCTACTGTTTCAAATATAACGGAATAGATACAAAAAAAAAACGAAATTTCGTTTTGCACATTTGTCATTTAAAAATTAATAATAATTCAATTTTATTTTCCTCGTCGTCGTCGTCGTTGTCGGCACCATATGCGAAATGCGGCACCATATGCGAAATGGGTTGTGTGTATTGAGCAAAAGAAAGAGATTAGCATTCTCTTAGTGTCTAAATAAATATGTGGCGATCGTGTCGCCACGTTCATCATTTCGTCTTTTTCTTCCGGTTGTAGAACCGATCGGCGAGTGCATGTAAAATGCTGCCAGGTATTCGTTGATGTTTGCTAATTAAATCTTCGATGGCGAGTGCAACCTTCTCTTGGAGTTGTTCGGGTGTTAGCTTTGGATCGTATTCGATGGGTGGGCCCAAATGCGTTCGGAATTTTACTGGGAATCCACCGTAAATGGGTCGCATGGGAAACTTGGTTTTGTTATACAATTTAATGAACCAACGTTGCATAAAATTCACCGATCGAAAACCTTCGCGCAAATTTTCCGTAAACATTGGAATGATTGGTGCCTTTGCATCGATGGCCACTTTGGCAAAACCAACACGATTCTTCCACAGTAATTCGTAATTATTGTTGCCAAATTGTGCTTCATATACACCACCCGGTGAGATGGCCAACAGATTACCTTCTCTCAGTGTATTTGAACACGTTTGCACCGTGCCCGCGCACACTTTCATCGCTTCGGAAATGATACCCCATCCCGGTAATTTGAATAGAAATCGATCGGCCACTGTGTGTATCAAACGATCACGCTCCATGCATACACGTGCCACAAAGTAGTACATATCGATTGGAATGGCGCCATGGTAGTAAACGATCAACGCTGGTCCTTCTTTTGGCAAATATTCCATTCCAGTCACTTCGTAACCGTGATAGATCCAGGCATGTGCATCCCAAACTGCTGCCACACACTTTCGTGCCACATTCCAATAGTTGATATCATCGCTGCTTACCGCTTGATATATGACACGTCTTGATTAATCATGACACGGCAATAAGGAGGAACGAAAATCGGTTGTTGAATTCCCACATCAAATTTAGCACGCATTTCATGTTCAAAAAAACGGAAGAAAGAAACACACAGTTTAGTTTTCATGACAAAGCAATAACGGACATTTTTGTTTTAAGTGTGCAGTAAAAATCGGCGGAATGTTGCACGACACTTTTTTTCGTGCGCTCTGTATCACTCTCTCTCTCTCTCTTCCTTCGTCGACAATGTTGTTGTGCACTTGTTGAAGTTGATATTGTCATTTGTTTTTTTTTTATTCGCAATGGAAGTTTTTAATTTTTTTAATTCAATCCATCGACTGATCGAAAAAAGGTTTCAAGTCGGCCGAAAAAGCGACTTCGAATTAAATTTAGACGCAAAAAACGTTCAGAAACTCAAAAACTCAAGCAGATGGATTGAATCCGTCGAAAACAAAAAATCGGGATCGAAACTGGGAAAAAATATTCAAGATGAAAAAAAAACACTTCAAAACAACATTATCGTTGAAAGAATGTTGGAGTACAAAGTCATGTACCCGAAATGTCGAGCCAAAGACCAAAGAGCCATGCAACATAATTCCGTTCAATTTGTACTCGGATTTTTTTTTTCTTTCTCGTTTCATTCAATTACCTATGGAGTTTATAAATATACAGGAAGCATGATGACAGATAAATGAGTAAAACGAATACCATCGGTAGCATGAATGTTATGATAAGTGGTGTTAGCGCTCGCCAAAGCCATATCGAGTAATCCAAATCAATGTACTGTCCTGTAAATAGAAACAAGCAAAGTATTTAGACAAAAATTAATCAATAAATAATCAGCGGCTATTATTAGTCGATTTGATTACTTTTGTTTTTCGTGTGAATGCAATGAAGAAGGAAAAAACGAATGATTTATGAATAATAAATGTATCATGCCCTTTCACATCGTTCGTAGAAAAAAAAATGAACACCAAACATGATTTCAAATAATGTTTGCGCAATCAGTAAAGTATTTACGAGCGATAACATATGTAAGCGGTACTCAAACCGACCGTATCTTAGTGGGAGCGAACAGAAAAATAGCAAAAATTCAGATATATCTTCTCATTCTTCATCAATTGCACCTCTGTTTTTTTTTTTTTTTTTTGCTTCGATTTCAGCAATCGATTGTAAATAAAAACGAAAAAATTCTACTCACCGATATAACTAATGAAGGAATTGTTGAAATAATGATATCCCGATTCATTGTAATTGGTGTACATGTTGAATGGAATTGTTTACAATTTGTTGCCGATGAATGCATAAATCACACACACACAACTCGTTCGTATCGATGACGGCCACTTCTCTCGAAACGAAATGAAAAAAAAAAACAGCAACCGAAATCAAACCGGCTTCGAAATGTCTTCAGCGTTTACTTCAAACGAAAGAAAGAAGAAAAAAAACACAGAGAAAAAAACACAACCCAGCAATTTCTCAAACAACACACGAAATATTCAATTTGATTGACATCTGCACAATGGAATGAATGGGAATTTTTCGGTAGTTTTGCTGGTTATGGGAATAATGCAATTGTTGCTGAACCTAGGGTACTTGTGTCCGGGGCCGTTCGTTGTATTTGATGTTCGATGACTATTTGATTTTAGTCGAAATTGTCGGTGGCCGATGCGGTGCGTGAGCGCGCGGGAGAGTCAGCAAGCGAGCGAGCGTGTGAGCAAACGAACGTTCAAGCTGGTAAGCGTTCGAATTGGTATATGGTGTTTGTATGATTTCTTCGATGTCTTTCTTGAACCATCCGATCAGAAAAAAAAAACAACAACAACAACAACCGTCACACCGTGAGCGCACGTTCTACGTGTGTAAGTCGATATATGAAAAAAAATATTTCGATCGGTATGTTGATTTTATGGTGTCTATTTGCTGAGGTCACCTTCTTTTACTTGCTGCTTGGCTCTTGTTCATTTGCACATTTCACGTTGAGCGCGCGGCTTTTCATTTGTGCAAACATACGATTTTCTACATGAAACGAAAATGCTTTTTCAACAGCGAATACACAATAACTGAGAATTAAGTTGTGTTCGCACTCGATTGTGATATTCTCGCTATCTTTTGCACAATGCTTAGTGTGTGAGTGTTTGTTTGTTTTTTCGTTGGTCGTTTCGCTTGTTTCATTTATTAGCGCTTTGAATGTTCTTACTTCATGGGCACATCGCACACATCCACCAATCAAGTTTATAAATCGGACTGCAATCCGAAAAAAAACAAGTAGTACCAAAATAACGTGGTATTTTTGTTTTTTTTTCCTCGTCGACGCTTTCAAACATATGCGCTTTGAATAAACTATCAATTGAACTCGGCCAATTCCATTTAAAGAATCAACTGTCACTTTAAATCACAATTAATTTGTCAGCATCACTGAATGAAAATGCCGATTTGATATGACTTTGCACCTGTCTCGTCTACAGAAAAAAAAAATCACACACGGAAATCTGTCTACTGTTTGATCAGAGGAAGAAGAAGAAACGAACTAAAATTTCGTCACACACAATAATGAAATAGATATCGACAGCCTAGAGAGAGAGAGAGAGAGAGAGAGAGTGTTGGCAAATTCAAATAGAACACTTCAATCCTAACACACTAGTAACTCCTTCTGTGTTGTATTTGTCTCTATTTTCTAGTTTTCATTCGTCTCTTTTTGGACGTTCGTCAAAAAATCAAACGATAGTTTTGTATGCAACAAAAACATAAATAATAATGTTAAATAATAACATTCACACTAAAACCACTGATTTTGCGAATAGAACACACCGACAATCGTGTTGTTTTTCATCTATGGCGAAAGTAAATATCTAATAACAATGCAATTTTGTTGAACAAACAATAATGAAAAAAAAAATCAAACACAACAATCGAATATGCTTCACAAACATGTGATTGTGTGTTTTAGTGCTTGTGTTTCGTTTCGTTTTATCCAATTGGAATGCACAGCAGTTTGCCTGACTACTCTGTCTTTTGCTCTCGGATATACACGACTTGGACTATTTTGACAGACAATGACGGCTCTTGTTCACATACACATGCACACAACAGCTGCGCTTCAATGTGATTGTGCATGTGTTGGTGCTCATTTTTTATCTTTATATGGCGCAATTATCATCGTTCATACTTGAATATATCGCACGATTTTTGATAAACACATAGTTCCGGGCATGGAATCTAGCTATATTTTTTTTTCTCGAATTTCAGCATTTTTAATTGCATTCCATTTTTTTTTCAAATAGCCCATAATTTTGTCGTTAAACTTCAAAATCAATGTTCGATTTCAACACCGAACTGGTACGCGCAATTATTTAAAACAAGAGACAAAGTCCCAAAACTTGAATTACAATTATTCTATTCAAATGTCTTACATTCATGCTAACGAATTCAAATTCAATTAAAAATTGAACATACGCTCAGCCGAACGCGATTTTTGATGTTTCTTGATTTTTCGTCATATTTTCGGGTTAATTTGACCTTAAACAACAAATTGTTGTCAAGTCAAACGGCATTTTTTCTTTTCTTTTCAAACACGAAGTATTAAACGTACTCATCAAATACGTTGCCTTCATTGTTCTAAATTCATTCCAAGATTCAGAGTCGTTCAAAAGATGAATTTGTTCAAAAGTAGAATTATTTTGGTAAATTCAGAACTGTTACGATTCGCTAACTAGATAAAAATGATGCGATTTATGGCAGTCAAATGACATAAAAAAGATATTTTATCGTTGACAAAGGCGTTTCTTTCTTGAAGACGGTTGAAAACAGACGTCGGATGATTGAATTTATCAAATTGAATGCAATTATGCTGATGCGTGGATGGTTAATCAAATAGAATGAGCATTGGTTTAAATTAAGAACGACAGACAATGAGACAGAAGCCATAAAAAAAAATTATTTCGATGAAATATGTCTTGCTGTTGAAATGATTCGTACATTTGCTGTGTGCTGAGAATTTAAAGTTGATTTCGGTCGACGGAAAAACCGATCTGATTGCACCTGAGAGCTAGGTCAATTCAGCCAAAAAAAAGCAGAGTATTCGGTACATACGTTGTTCAGGTTCAAATTTCCAATAAAATTTTGTTTGGCTTGAATCTCCATGCGAGATCAATATCATGAGATCTAGTGTAAACAACGATGATGGAGACGAACTGAACAGAAAAAAACTCAAGAATAAAATGTGGATATGTATAAATTGAAGTAGTATCAATACCGAGAGCTGCGTTCACACAACGAGCAAAAGAGAGAGAGAGAGAGAGAGAGAGAAAGAAAAAGCGAATAACGCATTGAATGTGAGATGTCGATGTGGTGCGATCACGTTTCGTCGTAATCAAGCAAAGAGCGGAATCGAAGTGAGAGAAGATCGGTGTATGTAAATCGGTCGTACATGTGTATTTGAGCAAAAACGAATGACAAAACAAATGGATTGCCCTTCATCGGTGCTGGCGAGCTGTTGCTTCTCTCGTATATACACGAGACCATCGTGTGTGTGTCGGTGTGTGTGTGTGTGTGTCTATCGCTCTCTGTGTGCGTATGTGTCGAGTGTTTGTGTTGCATTCAACAAGGCGCTATACGATTATTCCGGTTTATTATGTGCGAGGCACGACATTACAATACATGGACACGCAAGGCAGCTGTCAACCATTTCAGCACAAATACATCGATGGGGCGAGAGAGAGTGAGAGAGAGAGAGAGAGAGAGAGAGAGAGAATGAAACACATTGGCATCGTAATGTCATGTAATGGTACCTAACGAACAAAATGCCTCGTTTGTATGTGGGTATTTGTGATTTTTATCTCTGTATCCGCGCGCTTCGTCCTCTTCACAACAGCGCGACAGCGACAACAACAACAGCCCCGCAGCAGCAACAGCAACAGCAATAAAATAAAAATGTGAAAAAGAGGCGCACACACAACTCACACAAGAGACTCGAACAAAAAAAATATCGTTTCATGTTTTTGAGTTTGAGGTGAGTGCTAGCGCAATGAACAACACATTCGGTTGTGTTTAGTGCTTGGTTTCAGAAAAGAAGACCATTTTTTTTACTGTTGAGAAAAAACAAAACTAACATTTTCTTTCGTTTACAAATCTTATGTCCGTGTACGAACGAGAATAGGCCACATTTTTTTCGCTTTTTTTTTCTTCTCTTTTGTTTCGTTGCACTTAAATTCGGATAAAACTGGCTATCGTTCGATCGGTGTCCGACAAATAAATTTTTCGACGGTTTTTACATCATATATATTTCTGTTTGTGTCTTTCTCTGTGTTGTAAAATCGTGTGCCTTGTGTGTTTCTTTTTATTTCGGATATTTTGTTGTCGTCATCGTCATCGGTTTGACTAGTTCGTTTTCGTTTGGAATCTTACGCACGAAAAACAAAACTGTTGCTCAAATTCAAATCTCATTCGGACATCGACGACAATCCATTTGGTGTGTACCGTGCTTTGTGTCCAATTGTATACGCCACTTTAAACAACCATTTACCCAATTGTGAAACCGACATATGTAACAAAACAAAAAAATTGGCGAATAACACACATTTCGCGGAATTTCAAAAAGAAATAGACGCGCGCGGTCGCGATTAAAATAAAATCACATGAACGTCGTAACAACAACAACAACAATAATTATTAAGTAAATTTCAATTTTCGTCCAAGTGACATGTTCGTCATTGGGGCAATGTGATTGCACGTGAATGGATCGATTCGCCGTAAACAAAAGCAATAAAATGTTAAACTCATTGTAAACAATAACAATGCAAGCATGCGACATTAAGAAGATGAAAAAAAGCAACAGCAGCAACTTTAGATTGAAGCACGTATCGATTCATTGACAAACGATAACAAACAAACAAAAAACCGACTCGTCGCTAGTGAATTCGTATGTGTGTGTGTATATGCAGTGTTTGTGATAACCGAAGGACTAAGCGAAAAAAAAAAGTTGTGGATTTTGCAACTGAACAAATAAAGTGGCAAATTTTTTTTTTAGCAGCAACAGCGAACGGTGAGAAATATTTGTGTACTGTTTATGGATAATTGTTGCTGCCTTCACGACGTGCGCGCATCACGCTATCTTGAATGTAAGTGTAATTTTTGAGTAGTTTTTTTCTTTCTTGCCACGACCAAACTAAAAGCAAACACAGTAAATTGAGTTTTAATGCTCTTCGTCACACTATTGAGAAATTAGGCCTCATCGCATAAAAATGACCGTGCCAAAATTGACGAATTGTTTACTGTTTGAATCGCAATTTGGTTGGGCTTTGTAACATACATACAAAAATCATCGGATATCCGTAGCGAGAAAGCTGCAAACAAAAAATGTTCAACGACGAATGTCTGCGACAACGAATAGCAAGAAATTAGAGATTGCAACCCTAAACACGAGAATCACCGTATGAATGTGTGTCACTAATTTCCAATTGTATGACAAAGACTAAATGGACGTGCTTCACAAAAGATTCGCTCTCTCTCTCTCTCTCGCTCGGCCGTTGAATACCAGAAAAATTAGAGAAAAAATGTGTTTTGAAATGAGGAACGAGAGCGAGAGAATAAAAGGTGTTCGAATTTATTGAATGTGAAATCTATAATAAAAAAGGTGCACACACCAAATGATCAATAGACAACTGTGTTCCAGAAACATGTGTTTGACTTATTCGCATCTGGTAACGCGTGCGTGTGCCACAACAACAAGAAAAAAATGCTCCTTCTCTTTCTCTTCCTCTGTGTGTGTGTGCGTGTGTCATTTGACTGGTTCTGAATTAAGCGCACCGAAATTGGCAAGTCAACCAATTACTTTTGGCGAGTGAAATCGAATATTTGCGAGCGATTTTTTTCCCCTGCATTTCTGAGCCAGTGACAAAATCGCGATGTTTTTTCGACATCGTACAAGGCGTTAACCAGTAGATAAAGTCAGTCGAAATGATATCAGCAAACAAATTGAAATTTATTTTCTTCGTTGCGACTTATTTTATTTTGCTCATTCTTTTCTCGCGAAATTCTATGTAGATTGCGATTTCTCTGCCAATTTTGGCATTTATGACGCGACATCGAGGAGATAAAATCTTAAATAAAATACAGCATCATTCGTGCAGACCAATTCCAAACACAATATGCTCGTCGACATCGTAAATTGTCAAAAATTGAATGCGGCACTGTAGCGCAGAATATCCACAATCCTCCGCTGTTTCTGTTCATGGACTGCTATTCACAAAAAGAACAACCAATTTCGATTTTAGCCAACAAAGAACATCGATTCAGTCCGTCTGTTTGTCTGTCTGTCTCTGTACTGCGGTATATATGTGTGTGTGTGTGTAAATCTGTGTGCAGTTTCACAGTAATTATATCCAAAAGAAAGCCCATTTTCAATAGTTACAGTTTGTTTCAAACCGTTCAGCACCTCACCCATGTCTGCTGTGCTGTATTCACATACACATTGTATGAGCGAAAAAGTGTATGGTTTTTGTTGCTGCTGCTGCTGGCTGGTTGGCTTTGAAAATTGGCAATTATATATTTTGTGAGCAGATGTGTCCATTAGCTTTAGTTACAATTGGTACGTGTTACATTTTGCGTTTACTAGTTTTCTTTTTGGCCATGCTCTTTTTGTTCTGCTCTCTCTCTCTATCTCTCTCCGTGTGTATATCTCTCAACATTCTCAATCGCTCTCGATTCGCTGTTTCTCTTGTTCTCGCCAATTGTTCATACAAAAGTTTGGTTGTTGTTGTTTGCTGTTCAGTTTATCCGATTGTGCGTGTGCGCTAATGCTGGTGCCGCTTCGTTTTTTGTGTATTTCTGTTGGTGGTTGTTAGATTATTGTTAATCGGAGTCGTTTTTTTCATTTTTTCGATGTTTAAGTAAAAATGTGCAGGCCTAATTTTATGTGAAAAGTAGTGAAACAACGAACAAATATACTTCCTTCGTGCAATTGAATTTTGACAGGGCCTCGACATCGCCGATGCCATGCAATTCAAACACAATTTCTGTCAACCAAATGTGAAACATTGATCGCATTTTTATTCAACTTCTTTCTCTTTCTCTCTTTGATTCACAGCACGAGAGAGAGAGAGAGAGAAATACAATAAATTTAAAATGAATTTCATACGCGTGGTAAATAAACCATTAACGACAACACCAGCAGCAGAAGCAACAACAACAACAACAGCGGCGGCGGCGGCGACAGCAGCACCAACATTGTGACAGCGAACAAGATGTATGCAACGAAAGTGGGAAAAATGCGGTCAATATAAAATTTAGTTCAAATCCGAATTTATTTCACCGATGCACACACAAAAAACAAGAGCAATTCTCTCTCCTTCTCCGTCGCTCGTTTGCTGTATTGCTCTATCTCGTGCGCATCCACATTGCATCCAATTATTTTCAATCTCATTCAACAGCAACACAAAGACGCACACAACACGACAACCAATTTTGTGCTTTTATTTTTCGACACAAAAATATGCTCATGTTGCTTTTTGGTGTTTCGACGACGTGTTCCTTTTAATTTACAATATTTTTTTACAAAGAGTGTGCTCTGGCTGCTGCTGCTCTTTGATCTAGGCTCAGCCCCAAAAAAACGAATAATAATGCAATTGTTTTTCAAAGCCATCAAGTCTTTCGTTTACTCGTCATGACAGCACAAATCCCGGTGCAATTTATACAAACAAAAGCCAAACTGCCAACGCCGTCGGCCGCTGCCACCGTCACCACCGCCGACGTCGCGTATTATTTTCGTGACAATCGCAGTAAAACCATGCGCAAACGTTTCAGTTTCAGGATAAATTGCTTGTGGCAGACAGTGTGTTTTGAAAGTGCGCAATTCGAAAGTAATTTAAAGTTGAAGCGTTGTCTTTGTTGCTTCAAGCAACTTGCTTCTGCTACTCGAAACAAAAACAAAAACAAAAACAAAAAATGTCATCAGTAAATGTCATTGTCGCGAATCGTATTCATCAAGATTATGAATTTGAATTTCACTACACTCTCTTCTTTGTTTTGGTTACAAAAGCTGAAACAAATCATTCATTTCGTTGAATGTTTCGAGCGATGTCTATCTGTCTTGCTGGCTGGCGGTGTTTGTGGGCGGCATTCACTTTATTTTGGAATTTGCCCGGGTGAATGGTGAATTGAAAACTACACAAATCATTAGATGATGATTTCACAAAATCCATCGAAGCCAATAAATAGCCCATTTGTTGTGTTTTGAAATGAACACAAACAGTTTGTCAATTGCTCATGTGATTTTATTTTATTGTGTGCGCACGCCCACACAACACGTTCCAACCAAATCCATCGAGAAACATACGACGAGATTATCAATAAACAAACTGGTTCAACGGCTGCCTGCATGACATGCCATTCACAGTGGAAATTGTGTGTGTGTGTCTGATTAGCATTTTTGCACCGGTTGAATGAATGTGGCAAACGAACAGTTGTCGCCGGTTCGACTAAAATATAGACTTTTGTCCAATTGATTGTGATTGCTTCCGCTAAAAAATGCATTAGAATGCATCGTTTGTGGGTGTAGCTAGATTAGAATTGGCAACTCATGCAACCGAAAATAAACACCAACAACAAGCGAATCAAATCGAGTTTGTGTGCAATTCGCAGCATTTCATCACTGTTACATGCGTGTTTTTACTTCGTTCACTTGTCTTCGCCTTTCTTTCTTCGTTCCGAGATGTGCGTGTGTCGGTTGAGAGAACAAACGTGTGCGAATGCGAGAGTGCGGTGGCCAACAAACGAAACCGATTGTGTTTCGTTAGCATTGAGGAAATGTCAAGGTCTTTTGGTATCGCGCAGTTCTGTGTGTTTCACATGTCAAACCGAAGAAATGCCGTCATATCTTAGCGATCGCTGATGTAAGATCTCTCTCTCTCTCTCTCCGTTGTTGCGACTCCGCTGTCATTCGTTTGGCCGTTTGTTTGCTCGTTCGTCCGCTAAACGTTCCGTTGATGGAACACAATAGGTGCTAGCAAATTCACAAGATCGCGCGATCCCAAACAAACGGCCACACAATTTGCACGATTCCAACAATTTTCGCCAACAAGCACACACTTACATTCCACCGTATGATAATTAGAGACCGGGGATAAATCATATTCAATTGAACACACGGTACCAAGTAACCGTTAGGCGGGCGCGGAATTCTCTATGCCGTCTCTTTCCCTCTCTATCGCTCTCCTTCCTTCTCTCTCTCTCCCTCTCTCTGGTAAATTCCATTTTAATTGCTTCAACATTTTTTGATGATGAAATAACGCAACAGATTCAAAGAATGAAGCTTGAAAATCGAGCTCAAGTTACCGCTTTTGCATAGACAACGAGAACGTCACAGAAGAAAGAAGAAGAAGAAGAAGCAGAAAAAACACGAGCATAATCCACAACTGAAGGAATTTCCAACATGATTATCTAACCGCACGCTTTTGTTTGCATTCGAATAATGCTTTGCCACCGCCGCCTCACACACAAATTCTACGCGCTTAGCTCCAGAAGTTCAACAAAAGATCAACAGTTAAAAATCCATCTACATATTTCCAGGCGATTCACCTCATTTCCATTTGCCATCGCAAACATTAATAATATATCGAAGGCAAATAGACGCGCGAAGCGATAACAAATTCAAATGTGGGAGTTAAGCTTTATCATCATTTTTCTAGCTCGATGAAATGAGAAAGAAAATTCAATTTTCTCTCTCTCTCTCTCTATCTCTCTCTCTATATTTGTATTCAAAAATATGAAGAGAGTGTTTTTTGCACGTAAGCGCGCGGACCGCGTCTGGTGTATGCAGTCAATGACAGATAGCTGAGGATATATGCTGGGCATAGGAACTCAGCAAGCTGAGATTGGGACGTTTGGATTTTGTGACTTGCTATTCGTGCAAATTTATATGGAATTTTGGTGGAGTGTTGATGGAGTCATGGAGTGTAATGGAAAATGTGTTCCAAACTCCCCTCCATCATAAATTTGTTTGAATAGCACGTCACAAAGTCAAAATATCCCAATCTCAGCTTGCTGAGTTTCTATGCTCAGCATATATCCTCAGCTATCTGTCATTGACTGGGTTTATGTGCCACAAAAATGCGATATCGAATTGTGCAATTTCAATAATTTGTGTACACATACTGGGTAATATCGCTAAAGTGGGTAAATGAATGTTTGCTGTTGTTTTCTTTTATTTTTGCATTATCAGCTCAATCAACCAACCGACCAACTGCACTGCAGTGGACCGACGACGATGACGAGAGCATAAATAATTGTTTCGCTTTCGCACCGTGTGCGCGAGCGTACAATACATTGTTGATTTATTTTTGATTGCATTTTACTATTCTTAGAATTGTTGTATGCTATGAAATATGATTTGTTTGCCGTTGGTTTTTTTTCGAGCCGAGTATTGTGTGCATCATTTGATCTGGACGATTCGCATTTCCCCCATTGCATCGGTCGGTTTGGTTTTTTTCTCTCTTCATTTGTTTGCATTTCCAATGTAAGCCTACATTTTACTTCGTGGAAATGTTAAGTACATACATTTTACTTTTTCTTTTTTTTTTATTTCATATTCGAAGAATTCTTCGATTTTTTTACGGTTTTTTTTCAATCATTCAAACATTTTTTTTTCCGTTTAAAAGATATTTTTCATGTTCTTCTGTTCATTCTTTTCACAATATTTGCTTCAAAATATAATATTGCTGCGCTGATTTGTTGTGGTATGGATTGTGTGTCGAAATTCGTTGAAAATTTATCGACTCGATAAAATCACGACGGCAAGAACAATTGAGCATCTTCGAAACGTCAGACGCCGTTGAAATTCCAATTATCGATTTATCGACGAAACAGAACAAAAACCACTTTAGCCGAAAGTAGAAAAACCGAAGCGGTATATAAACAAATCAACACTGCCGCCGCCGCCGCCGCCGCTGCTGCTGCTACGTTTGCACTTCTTCAAATATTGTGTTGAGAAATGAATCGCCTAGCTTAAGCACTAGATTCCACTTGAGATGATGATGTTCAAACAAGAAAGACAGAAAAATTGCTTTTCATTTCTTATTCTCGGCAGGGTACGCGGTCGTGTGATTTATCGCATGGTTTTTCCGACGAAAAATCAAGTGGTATTGATGACTTAACTAATAAGCAAACACTCGCGCTTGGCACACACACACACACTACACTCATCAAACAGGGAATTCCTATCGAATTCGGCACTTGATGCCACGATCCCAAAACAAAGCCAACGGAGAAAAAATGCACCATCACGAAAAAACAACAGTATTTATAATACTAATTGGTTTAAAAACAGTAATCTCGCATGCAAAAGGCACATGAAAATAAATCGCGTCAAGCTCAAGTGAGTTGAGGAGAGAAAAAAAGCACAGAGAGAGAGGAAGAGAGAGAGAGAGAGAGAGAGAGCCATGAGAGTCATGAGATACCTTTGATCAGTGTTACCTACAAAATGGCCAAGAAAACATGGGATTTTATTTTAAGCCGGATGACATTTCTAATCTTGTCGTTTTTATTATTTTCCTAACTCCTATTAATAAATCTCTGGCTTGTTTTCTAATTGTTTTTAAGTGCATGGATTTTGATGACGCACACATTTCTCAGTTGCATTCGAATGCATGGCGCGTGCGCGGGCCTATCAAAGATCTCAATTTCTTCGAGTGGTTTGCACTTGCGCGCACAGTTGCACGCACGTAATCAGAACGGCCTTGTTAACGACGAATGTTCAATTGAATGGGATTGAAACAAAAATCAAAATTGATTTCTGTTCCAATTCAATCAATTGCTTTTTAATTGATGCTTAATATGGGGACACAGCCGTCGATATATCTGGGCTCGATGCGGCAACGTCATTTTTTATGTTTATCCATCGCCAAAGCAATTGATTATCATTTAAATATATGACTCTTAACATCAATCGTCCATGTTTCGATGGTTTTAAATGGTTTTAATTTATTTTATTTTTTTGCTTTTAGTTCTTCTTTTAATTCCGTTTCTGACCAAACCCGTACACCCATGCACATTACATACACAATTCAATAGGTTTTTAATGATTTTTTATATTCATTTCAATTTACAATTGAATGTCCGAGAATGAAAACGCAACTTCTATTCACAACACATATAAGTGAAACAAAAATAAAAAATTTATTGAAATGAAACAACACAATCGAATTTTTTCAAAGTGTAACAACAAAAAAGATTTTTTTAAACTGTAACATCGGTATGTTGTTACACTTACTACATACCGATGTTACACTTTAAAAAAATCTTTTTTGTTGTTACACTTTGAAAAAATTCGATTGTGTTGTTTCATTTCAATAAATTTTTTATCTTTGTTTCACTTATATGTGTTGTGAATAGAAGTTGCGTTTTCATTCTCGGACATTCAATTATACGTACAATCGCTCAAGTCAATAGAGAGAAAAAACCATCAGCGTCAAGTCGAAAGTTGAAGTACAGTTTTTGGAGCGGCATTGTTTGTAAAATGGTGACGACGTGCAACGATTTTGAAATGAGCATTTCCAACCGAAGAATTCTTTGTGTGTCGTGCTATTGTTATTCCGACTGAAATCATTGACTGCAAATAGTGAATCGATTTGTGTTGTTGTTGCTCGTTGCCGTTGTTGTTTTGGTCTCATTTGCCGATGAATGCAACTCTTTACGTGCACTTTTATTCATATTGGTTCGGGTGGATTTTCCTGGTGTGGTCGGAACGTGTTACGTTTTTCAAAGTGAGTCAACGGAAGCGCATCAGAGGAATGTATCGAAACGCGTAAATGAAAAACCGAAAAAAAACAGCATCGAGCAAACACAAAAAAGCAAAGAGTATGCGCGCGCTCGCTCTCATTGTGCACTACATATTTATCTGCATCAGCAGCATCAGCATCAGCAGCATCAGCATCAACAGCAGCAGCAATAGCAATAGCAGTGTCGACACATTTTATTAATAGACACATCGAAATGCGATAGCAATCTCTTTTTCTCTCTCATTCACTTCGCATAGGTAAATGAACGCACAAACGATCCGAGATATCTCAGATGAGCGCATTTTCCTCCGTAGGAAATAAACTAACGACAGGAAATATCTTTTGATATCAATAATGTGTGTGTGTGTGGTTTTTTCTTTAAATTTCATTCGTGTTTTTTTTCATGTTTCGCTTGTAAAAAGAGAATTTGTTCGAATTCACCGTTGCTGTTGTGCCTATTAAAAAATGCCTTCGGCACTCTTTCGTTCTGCATCTTCTAGCAGAAAGCCGCACTCGCTCGCTCGCTCGATGTTTTTCAATAAATTGCTCAATTAGCTAAATGTGTAACCAATTCTGGTGGAGATTATGCCCGAACCCGATGCTCAACGAGCACAATAAATATATATATTTATGTATATATATTGGAAACAGGAAAACACAAATTCAATCAACGCTCCTTTTTTTTCAGCCGCAACCAAACGAAAAGAAGTGAAATGTTTTCTGGACGCGCGCAAAGTATAATTTAAGTGAAAATAACATTGATGAAGACGAGCCAGACGACGACGATTCGACAAAAGAGGAATTTCACACGATTCCGTTCCACGAGCGGGTGCACCGTTTTTTTTCTTCGCTTTTTGTTTTGCCTCGCATGGCCGTTGCATTCCATGAGCAAAAGTGACTCGAGAACACACACATTATCTGTCTTCCTCTGTGTGTGTGTGTGCCTCGATGCCAGAGAGAGAAAACAATTTTCGCCTCAAAATGGAGAAGAAAAAAAAACAACAAATTATTCATTTTAACGAGAAGGTCTGCGTGGTCTTAAACAATCAGGCCATCTGAAATGTGTATGTGCGACTGATCGTGTGCGTACACTGTGATGTACGCGATTATCTCTACTTCTTCTTCGTTGCGATTTTTTTTTCTCCAATGCATTGTTTTTGTTGTTGCTGCGTTTTTTGTGAGTTTATGCGTGAATTTGCACATGAAAAGAAAAAGAATGTGCGTTTCCATTGTATGGCATTTTTTCCGCATTCATTTGGCAAATACATGCTGCGCAATCAGCGTATATGGATACATACTCAATTGCTGCTGCTGCTGCTGCTGCTTCTGCTGCTGGTGGTGGTGTTGTTGTTGCTTCGCATTGCTGCTGTGGCACACTGATTGATCGTGTGCGCAGATCGCACACACATTTTTCCATTAACTCTTCAATGTACACATTTTTTAGAATACACACATACATTCTACAGAGATACATGCCGTAAAATGGCATGAAATTAATTTATGTAGAAAGAGCAGTGGAGAAATTGAAATAAATGCGCAGGATGAAAGATTGAAATGTGCAAAATAGAAAAGGAATTTATTTGGATAAAGAGAAAAATTACTTTATTGAATATTGAAGTCGATCTCTTAGATGAGTTCAATCTTCTCTATTACAACAATTTCAGTGGAATTTTAGTTTCAAGTGGTCCCACATTATGTAGATTGAACCATTTTTTGGCTGGTTTCAACTGTCCACTTGGAATGTGTGGATTCATAACTTTTATAAATAAACCGATGCTGTGTGTCAAAAGTGTATTTCATGGTCCAACTTTGTTGAGTTTTTTCCACTTTTTGACTGGTGGTGCTTCGTTTTCGGGCCAAGTCTCCTTAACAAAGAGACGTTTGTCAATTGGTAATTCATCAAATGAATGTTTTTGAGGATCAATTGGTCCACAAAGACCCTTATACTCCATACTGTGGCCAAGTACGCCACATTTGCTTTGTGCTTTACCCTTTTCATAAACCTGGGCCGTATTCGTAATATTATCTCTTACTATTGAACGAGCAAAATTGCATGTCATATAACTGCAGAACACTTTCTTCTTTATTAATTTGCCGGCCGAATTAACATCGTCAGCCATAAGCTCATCTCTAACAATAGAACAGCCCATAGAGAAATTATCTTCTATCATCAATGTAGCATAATTTTCTACTGTACTTGGAAAGATTTGTTTCTTTGCCAAATCTCTGCTAGTCGGAAAATTCTGCATCCAGCTAGCTGTGTTCTGGGGATAATTGTTGCATTGAGCTCGCCAACCATTGTGAACTATTTCATTAATCACTTCTTTGACTGTATAATGAGCACTTCGGCATACTACACCAAGATTTTGGCCAGCAAATTTTTTAAATGCCGTTCGATGGCATTTGTCGGGTTTCATTGTACATCTGACCGCATGATTCAATGAAATCATTTCATCTTCGTCACTCCATATCTGTGGGACGATGACAACGAAATTTAAGATAATTCTTAAGAATATTTTGATATTTGCATGTTTCACTCACAGTTTCTATCATTTTAGCAGCCTCCACATCTTTGAATGGTCCGATTTTTTGGCTGTCATAGGTTACTTTACCGCGAGCATGATCACTGCGTGCATTATTGACCAATTCAAGGATAAGTTTGCGATCATCATCACTCAGTGGCTCATGCCTCGGATTCAGTCTACATGCTTTTCCAAATTTCTGCCATCATAGAAAACGTTAAATGTTACTAAATTAATTGAATATCACTCAAATGTCAGACACTTACCGTCTTATTGTTACACATTGTATGTTTAATCCCGTTTTCGCAAGTCAATCCCTTATTACAGTAATATGTTAAATCCTTTTTCGTTATTTTTTCATCTAAGTTGTTTTTTTTAAAGGAACGATAAACGTTAACTTTGCATACGATCGTCGATCAACTCAATAATTGAAGTTATACACAAATATCATATCTTTAGTTTAATCACCCGGCTTCAGAAGCTCTGAGTTTAAAACTTGGCTTGAATTCCTATTTTTGTTTGATACTATATTCAAAACGCATATTTTAAAAGATATAAACTTACTCTCTGAAGTGCAGCCTAAACATTTTGCTATTAGTTCCCTTAGGCGGGCCTCAACTGAAACCATTGCTACAAGAACTAATAATGGAAAAGAAGAAATATTTTCTATATTTCAAAGGAACAAAGAATTGCTTGAAAAATACAGAGAAACATTTTTAAATGAAGCGAAAAGTCGCACTCAAAAACTTACCGAATAAGAACGTGATCGTTTTTAGTAGCATCGTGTTGTTGTCACTCACTTGATTCACTTTTTGAAGCAGATTAGATGTTACAACGTCTTTTATAAGCCAAAATATGCAAAACTGTAACAACTTTGTAATTCAAATTTGTTAGTGCAGAACTGGAATTTTCACTCCCATTCAGCGCCGTACCGTGAAAAAAATTCAGATGGGGCTCAGTCACGGCTATTTCTTCCAAAAATGGTGAATGCGTGAAATTCAGAAAATTCCAGATCGGGCTCAGCCCCAGATGCTTGTATGGACGGTACGGCGCTGCTCTCATTTATATTCTTTCTTCCAAATGTGCCAACCCAAATTCGACGGTTATCCGAATGAAATTTTATGAAAATAATGGCATTTAGACCAAATCCCTTAAAGTAGTTCGATCAATAATCTACTATATTGGAGTCATTTTTGTGGCGTCTCCACTCTCATTTAACGTCCATAGAAGCTTACTTGTCAAAGTGCAAACATCAATGCATACATATGAAAGTGGAGGAAATGACGCCAAGCTGCGCGAGGTTATTTGACCTAATAAAAATGAAAATATTTTAAAAAAATTGGAATTTTATACTACAAATGCGTTCAATTAAGACATGAAAGAACTTGTTAGAAATTTTGCCCTAAGATTACGTTCCTTGCTTCTTTCAATGTAGTGTTCATGGTTTTTTTTGGATGCGTTCATTTGTTATTTGTTCTGATTTAACTGTACTGAAACATTGATTCAATATATTTGATGCTATGCCCTATGAACTTGTTCTGAGCATCCAACAAGTTTTTTATCCATTCAATTTATCACGTGGTTTGCTCTGAATTTTGCATGGCTCACATTTTTTGCTTTCCATTTTTTTGGCTTACATTTTCATAGAACTACTTACCAATTCAAATCTAACATTTTTCGCTCGGAATTCGCCACATCAAGATCACAAAACCAAACAATTTTCGCTGACATTTTGTTTCTGGTCTCGAAAATTGCGATCGATGAATATCAATGAGAATTCCTTCGTACACGGATTAACAGTATGCGGAGACGAAATGCAAATAATATATATTTGCTTTGTGGTGACGGAGTCACGGAGATCTGCATGGATTTTTTTTTCTTGGATTTTACGTACTTTCACATTGATATCAACTATCAATTTTTTGGTAAGAACAAAAGGAGGACGGTGCAAAATTATGAACATTAATATGCTGCCAAGTCAATTTGTTCGTTTTTTTTTTAAAGATACAACAAGTTGTGACGATTTTTTTTGAATTTTATGGATGTTAATTTTATTTTGATCCCTTATGCGAGATCTGCCTTCTCTATTATTAATTTAAAAAGAAAAAAGAAAACAACATTCAACGTAAATTAGTACTGAATGTGAAGTTTTAGCTTCAGCTTCAGCACCATTTTCTGTGATTGCATTTATTCAGTTATTATAGACGAATTCACATAGAGCGTCAACAAATGGACAACTTTCATTTGGAATGCATAGATTCATAATTTCTATAAATAAACCATGGAAAGTGTATTTCAATTTGTTTGTTAATTTGGTCCAGCTTTGTTGAGGTTCTTCCATTTTTTGACTGGTGGTACTTCCTTTTTGGGCCAAGCCTCCTTAACAAAGAATTTTTTTTTCAATTGGCAATTGTTCAAATGAATGTTTTTGAGGATCAATTGGTCCACAAAGACCCTTATATTTGCTACTGTGACGGCTGAGTATGCCACATTTGCTTTGTGGTTTACCCTTCTCAAAAACCATGGACGTTCCACTATTGAACGAGCATAATTGCATGTCATTAAACTGCAGAACATTCTTATCTTTATTTTTTTGCCATTACTTGTTTTGGCGTCAGCCATATACTCATATCTAACAATGGCACAGCCCGTGGAAAAATTATCTTCTATCATCAATGTAGCATAATGTCCTACATCATTTGGATTGATTCCGCTCTTATTCAGATCGTGAGTTGTCGGATAATTCTGCATCCAGTGAGCTGTGTTTGGAGGATATTTGTTGCGTTCAGCACACGCCAACCATTTTCGACAACTTTATTAATCACTTCTCCGACTGTATAATGAGCGCCACTTTGGCATACTAAACCAAGATTTTGGCCAGCAAATTTTTTAAATGCCGTTCGACGGCATACATCATGTTTCAGTAGACATCCAACCGCATGATTCATTGCAATCATTTCATCTTCGTCACTCCATGTCTGCGAGACGATGACAATAAGATTTATGATTTAAGAAAATTCCCAAGAATATTTTGCTTTACTTACAGTTTCTATCATTTTAGCAGCCTTCACACCTTTGAATGGTCCAATTTCTTCACCACTGCGTGCGTTATTGACGAATTTAAGAATAAATTCTCGATAATCATCACTCAATATCATACATTCAGGCTTCTCTCTGCATGCTTTACCAAATTTCTGTCATGAGAGAAAGGTTCGATGTTACTAAAAATCAATTGAATATAACATTTAAATGTCAGCCACTCACCGTCTCATTTTTGCACAAGGTATGTTTAACGCCATTTCCGCAGGACCAATCCTTTTGACAGTAATATTCAAAGTCCACTATTGTCATTTTTGATGGTTGGCAACCATTGTATGCCCATATAGATTTCTATTTGTTTGGGTTGCTGATTTTAGTTCTGTTGTTGCAATGCCTCCAGATGCCGATGGTGTATATTTGGCTTAATGTGGCACATTTAACTGTCGGGTTTTCGATCGTGTTGTTGCGGTGGCAGTTCTTGTTTGGCCAAAATGGATATACAAGCAACGATAAACGTACATAAGAACTAATCAAAAGGGTGGGATTTTGACTTAAATTTGTCAATGACAAATCTCCTTTCTCGCCCACTAAATTAGTGCGTACCACTACGTTAGTCAGAGACACTCACACCTCTTTCTGATTAGAATTCTACTTTTTTTCCATCGATTTTCAATGTGGTGTTTCAACATTAAATTTGTTTTCGACGATGATTTTTCGAAAAAATGCAGTCTCTTTCGGAGAATAAGTGCTTTTATTGTAGAAAACATGTAGACTTACATCCTCAACAACCCGTGAAACATGATTTGAATCGATGTCCTAGGCCGGCCTCAACTGAAACCATTGCTAGAAGAACTGATCATGGAAAAAAAGAAGAGAGAAATATTTTTTTTCATTTCAAATGAACAAAGAATTGCTTGAAAACTTTAGAAAAGATGATAGACGGAAACAATTTTGAATTAAACGAAAAGTCCCAATCAAAAAACTTACCAAATAGAATGATGATCGTTTTTAGTAGAATCATGATGTTGTCACTCGACTGATTCACTTTTTGAAGTGGATTGTTATTTTGTAATTCAAATTGTTCACAGCAGATCCCTTTTCAAATCCCTCAAATTTGACTGAAAACATCTGGAAGAAAATATTAACTTTGTACTGTAGATGCGTCGAATAAAGATTTATTCAATTTATTACGTGATGTGCTTTGAATTTTGTATGGCTTACATTTTTTTTCACATCTTTTAGCCGTTTCACATTCATAGCATTACTTACCAATTCAAATTTAACATTTTTCCCTTGGAATTCACCACAAATCGAAACATTTCTCTCTATTCTCAAAGATTGCTCCCAATGAATATGCATGAGAATTCCTTCGTACATATGAATTGCAAATAATATATTAGCTTTGTGGTGACAAAAATCTGCATGGACATTTTTTTTTTGAATTTTCACGTACTTTCAAAACCATATGTTCGATGTTTCGTCAAAAACAAAATCATAACGATTATCGTCATAAACTAAGACGTCACAAAATAATTCAAGCAAACATTATGGATATATTAAATGATGAGCCCACTATGAATGTTCATTGTGCAAACATATACGATTTTCCAATGGAATGAATACATTCCTGTCCATTTTTCTTTCTCGCGTCCTTTTTCTTAGTTTGACATCCACTCCGATGAGTTGCGGTCAAAGGAGTAGAAAGAAGAGAAGAAAAAGGGAGAAAAAAAGAAATAATTTTATGGTATTTGCTTTATAACTGTAGACGTTGTATTTGCCAGTACAGTCAGTCGATGGTGCGTTGGCCACAACCCGTTGTGTGCAACGGATACTCACGGCATAAGCACATATTAGTGTCGATCGCCTTTGATCGAATGAAAGACTTAATAACTAGCCAACACTTCTTATTTATCGCGATTCAATTTTATTATTTTATAATCGAACAAATACATGAAAATACCATCAACGTCATTTTTTCTCTTCTCATACTGTTATGCGTCCCTCTCTCTCTCTCTCTCTCTCTCTCTCTCCCTCTCTCTCGATTGTGGTGTGGATTTACAATTGCATTTTTTGTTCAATCATCACCAGCGAAATATATATATTTATTGGTTGTGCTCATTCATTGAGAAAAACTATTGCATTTTTTGCGTCGCGCATCAATTTCGTTTTCAGTGTATGAACCAGTGCGTCTGGTTCGCTACATTGATCGTATGCTTCTTGATTTCTTTGTACTGTTGCCACTGTGTTCGCCGTTCGTAGTCAATTTCAAGTAATATTCATAATTTACTCCATTTCGTTGAATTGACTGGTGCGAATGACGTAAAATAACACTTTCTGGACTTGTGATGCTCGTGGTTTTCATTTAAGTTGCAATAATATGGACGAGGTCATCGCCATTCCACCATATTCAAATGTGGCGATCGCTACAACGCTGATCTCATTGGCTGTGAATATATAAATTGCACTAGCAATAAGTAGGCTGTTTGAAATATTTAGCATCAAATGCAGACGCAAAGTGAAAAAAACGCACGTAAAAAAAATCCATTTCATTTGATCAATGTGACAAGCCAAGCGTCTCTCTTATCAAGAAAATGTTCATTATTTTTTTCCCTTCTTTATTCGTTACTCGTTGTTTGCCAGTATAGTCGCCTTACAATAAACACAAAAGTTTTCACAGCCACGATTCGATGCATTTCGCTGGCCACTGATTCATTTCACAAAAATTGAATGGGAATGACGACAATGAAACGTGATGTCATCACGAAATTGAAATGAAAAACTTCTTTTATCTCTTTGTTAACGCATTTCATTTCTATTGACAACAACAACGACAACGACGACGACGATGATGATGATAATCGAGTTGTATTTTTTATGATTCAACAGAAAATTCTTTTTCAAATGCTTTCCGCTTTCTTTCGAAAACCACAGCTTTTTGTGTGTGTGTGTGTGTGCCTCTGTTAAATGACCGCTTGATTACTCGCTTATTCATTTCTATCTGCTGCATCACTACGATGTCAAAAGTTAATTATCTCCTATTTTATACGTTCCAAACTGGCAAACAACGCACACACTAACTATTTTATACCGAAGAAGAAAAGTAGACGAATGAGAAAAAAAAATCAGAAGCTATTTAGCATATTATCATTAAACAGCAATTCCATTTCATTTCCATTTCACTTGGCGATTAGTGAGCGAGCACGAGAGAGAGTGTGTGTGCAGCTTAGAATTCCATCGTATCGTGATTATTTTTCAAGCGCTGGTTTTTCTTCTCTTTACACACACACACAAACGCACACGCGTCGGGAATTGTTCTGGCGTAACGGATGCAGATTTCGTGCCCCGCACAACTCATATTCAAATTTTATTCGATGCATTCGATTCGCAAACGGCACACACAACTGATTACCATTTCCATTGAGTTGTCAGATGCATTGTGATTCAGATGATGTGCACAAATACATCCATTAGGTGATTACCTTCTTTTTTTCCCGTTCTCTCTCACTCTCTCTCTCTCTCTCTCTCTCTCTCTCTCTCGCTCTCGCTCTCTGTGTGTATGCGCAAATACGTTGCACATTACTTAATTTATATAAGTGCTAATAAATTTGAGAAACAACAACGAGGGGGAAAAAACAACAGCAAACAATAATAGCAAGAGAATGTTTTGCCATTTTTTTTGAGCTGTCGCTGTTGACTCTCTGCACAGCACTCATAAAATGCAGCCAACGCTGCATGAAAATGTAGTAAATTTTCTCTCTTGCTTCTCTCTCTCTCTTTCTCTCTCTCTCTCTCTCTCTCTCTCTCTCTCTCTCTCTCTCGTAACTGTAAATTGGCATTGTTTTTCGTGTGTGTGTGTCTTGGGCTTTCAAAATTAAATGCCATATTTACAATGCAGAACGGGAATGAAGAGAGAGAGAAAAAAGTGCACACAAAAATACATTCGGTTTTGTGTGTATCCAGATCATAAATTTTGGCCGCTTATGAAAAACTGCCACTATGGAATGCGGTGCGCGGCGCAGTGCGGCGCGTTCACCAATTTCAATCAACTTGTTTCGAACTATATGTTGAAAATTATAATCGCAAGACGAAGGAAAAAAAAAAACAAATAAATAAAATTCTCGGATGCAGAACGAAACAAACGAAGAAATTATTTACAAATTTACGTTTACCACATTCAGTTGTTGGCTCCAACATTCAAAATATTCGTCTGCTCACAGAAATGTTGAACGTTTCTCAGAAGCAATGAGAAATAAAAACGCAACACAAATATTTTGGGCTGTCCCAAAATGATGAATTATTATGATTTTCTCTCTTAATCGCCACGCATAACATTTTCATTCGTTGTTGGATTTATTACCGCCGCTGTATTTATATTGTTTAATCAACATATACCGGGACTAAAGCATAGCCGGGCTTGAAATGATGGCAAACAGCACGGAAAGTGTTATTCTACAGCATTTCAAATGTCTTCTTGCCTGGTTATTTATTGCGACGATGGTGGATGAACACCATTTCATCTGAGATGGGAAAAAATACCAGACATTTTCTATTCAAACGAATCAGAAAATGAAGAGAAAAAAAATCATCCCATAGAGAAAATGGAAAATAAAAGTGAACTTTTCGGTAGCACCGACCGAATCCTGTTCCGGAGAATGAAATTGTGTCTGGATTTCGTATTTAACACGTGCACTGCGTGACACTGTGTCGGATACGGTATATAAAAAAAACACACACGCTTATCTATCGCTCGCTATACAGGAAGCGATAGTGTTTGATGAAAACACTCATCACCAAATTCGATTCATCTTCTCTGGCCTCACACCGACTCTCATTCAAATTGATTTGCTAATCGGACGGAATTAAAAATTAGTAGTTCACAGGGAAATGCCGGCTGTTATCAAGAACGAGATAAAAAAAAAACAAATAGAACCGAGAATATATCGCCTGTTTTTGACATTCTCATCATTTAAAAAAGACTAAACAAATATTCCCATTAGCTTTTTTTGTTATTGTTTAGAGAATTAATCGGGTTTCTTTCATTTTCTTTGGAAATTAGCTTAACTTTTAGCTTTTCTCTCTTTTCTGTACAAAAAAAACTTGAATTTTATCTACTTTCCAATATTTTTGCTCCGAAAAAGTGTTATTTTGATATATTTTTTTCGATGAAAAGTTACGTTGTGTTCATTCGTTGAACAAATTATGAACATTTTCTATTTTTTTACCATGTTTTCCCCATTTTTTTTTTATTCTTCTTCCCCATTTTTCTACACTTTCGTTCTCGTTTTACGTCATTTCTCTTGATGTCTAACGAGAAAACTCTTAATTTTATTAATACACGAGTTCAAACGCACAAACAATGTAGAAGCGTCCAATATTCTTGTGCGATTTTTTATAATTTGCGTCGCCTGTCTTCTCTGCTTCTCTATGGATGTTGAGCAAGTGCTGTCGTGTGTCGTGTGTCGTGTGTCGTATGTTAATGAAAGTCTCTCCCATGGGAAAAATATATGTATCAACTCGGTGTGTGTGTGTGTTTTCTTCATCGTATTTTGAATTGTGCGACGAATACACACCACATTTGAATGCTAAAATGGAGTCTAAGTCTATTGAGCTGCCGTATAATTTTGCCCGCAGCCGTGCCGTCGCTCCAGATTTGATTGGAAACGCAATAAAGAAAACCAATATAAAAATATCTCTCGGTGTATGCTGTTGGTGGACGCACCTTTCAGAATTTCACCGTTTGCATTTCTCGCTCTTTCTCCATCTCTCTCCGTCTCCGTGCAAATGCATTTGTCGCACATGTTTTCAAAAGACCATGCACAATCTGTTTATATGCATTAATGGTTAAAAATGGTAATTGAGCGGCTGTGATTCAGTTTTATGTTTCCCAATTGAACACGAAACCGGTAAACTGAGGCAGGCGCTCGCCCGCTTGCTCACATACGTAGCACGGTGTTATTGTTTTTCGGTACAAATTAATTGTGAACATATGTCAAAATGGTGAGCTGCTACGAATGTAAACATGCCAATAACCGGCGGCAATTTAATATGGTTATAGCTTTTCCATCTTGTTTCTTGTTGTTATTATTGTTGGTGTTTTTCTATATGTGTCTCTCGATATGTGCGGGATGAATATCTGTATAAAAAAAAACGAACAAAACAAAATATGAATATAAACAAGAAGACGAAAAGCGCCGCACACGTGTAACATTTGATTTCACTTGATTCCGAAATTGTAATGCAACAAGCACATCAGAGAGAATAACGAGTGCACACCGCACATGCCATTTGAAATTAGAATGGTACATGCACATACACACTTACGCGAACACGGCGAAACGCATGTTTCACATTTGGCCTGCGGGTACAAATTTGATGTTTTGCCATATAATTCCATTGGTTTGCTCTGTGGCACACATGCGTATCGTTTGAGGCCGTCGTAAATTGAGTCTCGACTTCCCGCAAACGTTTTTTTCTCTTATTCTTTCGAATCGGCGCGCAATTCAGTCGATTAACACTCGCTATTGATGATTGATCGATTGTTTGTTACCAACCTCTTTTCCGACCAGAAAAGTTCATTCACAACGTTTTTTCGTCTCTCTCTCTCTCTCTCTCTCTCTCTCTCTCTCTCCCTCCCTCTCTCTGTCGGCTGGAATGGGTTCCAAAAATACCCGAACCATATAAATAGAAAGCGATATTTATTTACTGTTTGTGTATGTGTTCAAGTAAACCGAAGCAAATTCGGCAATATCTCGACGCCAGTTCAAAAATCGAACGAACAACATTAGAGACATTCACGTTATCACACTTCGAACAACATTCATCTTATCAATTTTTTGTGTCAGAACGGCATTTTATTTCTAGAGATATCACTCGGTGTGACACAGTGTAAAGCCTTGGGTAGATTTATGTGAGCGCAGAAATGACATAGACAAAATGATGTACTACGTTCAATATACCTACCTGCGAGAGGATTTATATACGAAAATTGAAATGCCACAACCAATTGAGGTTATCTTTTAATTCGTTTGACAATTTTTTTTTTAAATTGTATGTGTTTAATCCGGTGTTTGTGATGTTTCAAGGTGTTTTGTCAAATGTGTGACGCTATCAAATGGGCTCTAGAGTGTTCGGTTTTAATCATAATTTTCTTTTTATTTGTTTGTTTATTACTCATCGCCTTTTTTTGCCTACTTTTTTTTTAATGTGTACATTCTTCTTTTTCCCTCCTTATCTTAGATTGGAAGAGTAAATGCCGCCGCATGTAACACGTAAATGGAGACGAGAATTTTGTTGTTGATAAACAGCGTTGAGCGAAAGTTTAGGAATTTATCGTGAGCAAAATACTGGAGAAAAATCGTCAATTGATTTACAACAAGTGATCAAATCTACGAATTTTTGTGTATTGTGTGTGTTTACAGAGAGTCGTCACATCGAATATAATTTACCCGATTGCATCGCATTAATTCAATGCCCAGAATCGATGTGAACGGTGTCGATTGTCGGAATGACAAAATTCCATCGAAAGGTTTCATCAAAACATTGAATGGGATTTTGGACAAAAGTCCACGGAATTCGTATCAAAATTTGGAAATTGCCGCCGAATCATCGACGACAGAAGGACGATATCATTCGCCAAAAGTGTTTGCCGCCGATTCAATAACCGTTAATGCACCGGCAAAAGATGTGCTTGGCCCAAAATTCGATAATTTTTCGCGAAATCTGATGCAAACGATCGCAATGCCGGCCGAAAGTACAGTATTGACAAAGATCAATGGAACAACGATGGCGAATGGCAGTGCCAACGGTCATTTGGTGAATGGTATAAATGGTAATGGTGGCCTGCCAAAATTACAACCATTATCCGCGTGCTATGATCGTTATCCAAAGCCCGGTTCATACGGTAGCCTACAGGTGTACCCAATGAATGGTATCAATTCGGAGATAAACAATGCCAAAGAGAATTTTTGTGACAATCAACCCATTGAGGATGAAATCACAAGAGGCGAACAAGATCGATTGGAGGAGATATTGAAAATGTGCGCCGATTTTGAGCGACAAAATCAAAATGTACAATCATCACCGATCGTACAGAATCGTATCAAAACCAATGGTTCATTGCCACGAGAGAAAAAGTCACCGCTTAGTCCTGAGCATATCGGCGGAGGAACGGTCAATGTCTTTTTTCCGCCCAGCCCAGGCGATTTTCGTCAAGTCAATGCTAATCAACCATCTTCACCTCATACACCGCACAAATCAAATACCGGCTATGAAAATGTGAAACTATTTGCCGGCCGTAAAACCGAACTCTCTTCGTCATCTAGTCGATTCGCCGAGAATAAATCGGAATTGAGTCCATTGCATTTGACCAATGGCAATTCAATGAATGGCTATGAAAATGTCATGTCACCGATTAAATCGCCCGTTGGTTATGTGCCACAGAGCCCAAGAACACGGATCAAAACCTGTTGTATGTCACCAAAAAAGGAGCTCACATCCACTCCAATTCAACGTAAGACTGATTATGATCTTCTGGTTCAATCATTTGAGGAAAAATTGCGCAGTGAAATCCAACAGTTACGTGACAACAATCGCAGTATTGACAACCAAATTAGTCAGAATACGCGACAAATCAACCAAAAACATGAACCAGCACCAATACCACCACCAAAACCACGGCCACAACTGCAGCAGTCGCAGTCACAGTCGCAGTCACAGTCACAGTCACAGCCACAGCCACAACCGTCACAACAAAATCAAATGGCAACGGCTAACCACACACAACATCAATACGTCAATGTGAATGCAAACCGATCGACGAATTTACAAGAGGGCATCTATGGCTCGCTCACCAATAAACACAAAAGCAATAACCATTTAACCGTAAATATTAAGAAAAACTTAGACGACAAACAAATTACTCAACTGAAGAAACAACAAGTTGATGTTGTGCGAAAGGCACGTGAGCTCAAGCAACAAATTGCCGAACTGCAACGGCAAGAGGAAGAGGTTTTGAGAGAGGTATGCATGTATAATACACATCACATACATTTTGACAATTTTTTTTAATGCCATTTTTCTCGTTACTTTCAGTTGGATTTGGAAAAGGCTCTGGTTTCGGCCGAATTATCAACCGAACAAACGCAGCTCATTGAGATGGATAAGAATTTGGCTGCACTACAAGCCAAAATTCACCGGTTAGAAGCACAACGGAATGCAAATCGTGTTTTACAAGAGACACAGCAAAATAAATTAAAGCAATCGATTGACATGAAACAGAATCAAGTCGAAGGGTGAGTTTGAGTGTTCTATTACCTTTTTTTCTAAATACGGAATTTTTGGGTAGTTTTGAATGTAAATTTAGTATTTTTATTCGGAATTAATCTACTGAAGAATTTAAAAATTTGTTTTCAAATGTGTCTATCAGAAAAAGATCCATCAACTAATTAAATTTTCCTTTGCAGATTGAAGAAGCTAATAACGGAGAATGACGCCGACACCGACTTAAAAGACGATTTAAACGCAACGATTGAGCTGCTGGAGAATGATACAAAAACGTTTGAGGATCTAGAATTTCAGTATTTGGAGGAGGAAACGGAATGGTTGGCCTACCGTGAGGATTTGCACACTGAGCAAAAGACTTTAACGCGGCGAATCAGTGAGAAGCGAAAGCATATTCAGGCCTTAGAAATGCAGGGTATTGATAATCAGAATGCAGCATGTGCTGATACGAAAAATATCGAAAAAGATTTGCGATCGATGTTGCGTGAGCTGGAAAAGTATCGCGAAGAGTTGAAAACGATCGATGTTCTGCTGTACGAATTGTCTGGGGAAAAGAATACACAATCCGATTCGGACGAAGATTTGTCGGTTGCGATTCCTGCAGCAAAACGCCCAACCAATGACATCATGTCACAGTCTCTGTTCGGGTCTCAGGAGATTTTCGGCACAAAAAAGCCGCCCGCAAACGATTTAATGTCGAAAAGTGTCAATGAGAATTTATTTTCAAATAAAATCGAAACACTATCATCATTCACCGATCAGCCACTGGCCAAAGCCGAAAAAGAGAGTGACACACACTATGAAAATATCTACGACGTTGAAAACCGGAACAGCGTTTCATCGGAAAAATCAAATAAATCATCGTTGGATCAGCGAATTAGTGAAAGTGCACCAGAGATCGAAAGTGAACCGGTCACACCAAGCGATAGCAGTCCAAAGGCTGATGAAGAAATGTCAGATCCACTACAAAAGTTAAAATATAATTTATCACCACCATTCGATCATAAAGTACCAAAACAGTCAACGGATCCGAATGCAAAGCAGACAAATTTAAATCTATCCATCGAAAGTGATGATTTCGAGGTGAATCCATTGGAGAAACGTGTTCCATCGCAGGATGATATCGATCGAATTTGCAAGGTTACCACCAATGCGCCGATCTCAACGCAGGGTGCCAGTTTTAAAGTGATCGAAAGTATTAAGGAAATCGAACGAAATCGTCAACTGTTGCTCACCCAACAAGGTAATTATTGGTCGTAATGTGCGCAGTGCGCGCCACTCATTTGCATTTATTTATGCGACTGATGGGTGTGAATAATGTGTGCAATTAAACGAAAAATCGATGTTGTTTCTTTTCTAAAAAAAAAAAAAAACAACCATGTGCATTCCAATATTCCGTATATAGGTTCCCATGTGATCGAGCATGAACGGCAGAAAATGAGCGAATTGAAGAAAAAAAGCCATGACGAGGCTCGTGCACAATACCTTCAACTGCAAAACTATAACGAAGACAGGTAATTGACGACAACATAATTTGCATATACTTTAAAAGCACACAAGAAATGGAAAATATTAAGATGAAAAAAAAACAAAGAAAGAAAAATCAAAACACATCATCAGCTGGAGGGGGCTTGCCCTTTCTGACATTTTCGTCATCTTGACTCTCGCGCGAGAATGAGAAGAGAACGAGAAAATAAACGGCCGAAGCAAAATACAAGCGGAAAGCAAGAAATGGCTGTGATTCATCATGTTATTGATGAATTGCTGTTAAAACGATTTGTAGGCAATAAATAAACTCATGGAAATTGCTTCATTATGCAATCGTCGTGGTTTTTTTGTTGTTTTGTTTTCTTCTCTGCTTTCAGTTTATCTATGAATTACTGTTGCTGATAAAAATCGGTCGGGTTCGAAGAAAGTGCCGACCAAAGCAAATGCGCGCTGTATCGACAGAAACCAGTTCATTACAGTCTACTTTGAGCATGTACTCGCGCTCGTCGAGAGTCAAATCGATCGGTGTACGCAAAACAACACACACACACGCACACCCGACTGGACTCGACACAGACACAGACGTATGCGTTTTTTGTTGCTTGTGTTCGTGTGTGTGTGTGTAAAACCGATGCACAGAGCAATTAAGTGCGATTGCGAAGGCACACACTCACTTGGCATTTCGTTGCCCTTTTCATTATATAGTTCAGTGCTTAGTGGCGAATTATTAGTCATTCGATGATCGTTTGTGAACATAAAAACAAGTGTTACTTTTTTCAATCGAAAACATTGTATCAACTCCATTATCTTTCGGGGTTTTTGTTGCAAAATTTTACACACTAAAACATGAGTTCGATGCGAATGAAGCGTTTGATTTGTGGGTAATTTCGATTCTGTCTATTGGATTTGAATAAGTTATTTTGTTGGCCATGTTTTCGTGAGGTGTTGAATCGTTTGGCATTTTTGTTTTTCGCGCTGTGCTGATATGCTAAAAGGAATGGGCCATTAATATTTATCCGCCTCTTTTTGTTTCTTTCTCTCGATTGTTGTTTTTACAGATACAAAAATGGTTCCGTGGATAATGTAAACAATATAAAATGTGATGCGGAGAGAAAGGCTGAAACAAATGGAAAACCATCAAATTACGCCGTGGCTCAGCTCCGTGAAAATGTTCTCCATAGTCCGGTAAGTAGCAAAACAATAATTAAAACGCGTATTTTCATTTTAAACAACATTATCACTATTGTTTTGGGATCCAAATTTGACGGATTTTTTGTTTTGTTTTGTCGTTCAATTTTCGGCTTTTGTCGATCAACGGCGATTTTGTGCACACATATAACCTAGATAAAAACCAATGAACAAATGAAAAACACAACGAATAATGTGCTAATGAGTTCAAATCGATTAGATTATGTTCGACCGGCCAAAAATGCGAGCAAAAAAATTAAAACCGAACAACAACAATGGGAAAAGCAAGTGTGAGCAAACAAAAACGGTTGCGGTTAAATCAATCAAACCTCACCGTAACATGTTTATTTGTGTATTGTTTGAGTGTGAAAAATCATTTCCTGTGTCGAAAAACATGCGCATCTGAACGTGATTCGATCTGCTCGGAAAAATATTTTTTTGTCATATTTTTTCGAATTTTCTTTTCTTTTTTTTTAATTTTCCGGTTCATTTGTTATTCGTTCCCAAAGGATCGGTTGTCAAGTTGAAATGTGTTGTCGCGAGCTGTTAAAATGCCCGTGAATTCGTTTAATTTGTAAATAATTATGGTCTTCACGCCAACGATTAAACCGAATAATCGAAAAAAATATGATGTAGATTGAGCGACGCAGGCCTTTTAAAATCGATCACACAGCGTCGTGTTTGAACACACATTTTTCGTTTGCTTCATTTTATATCGTTGTTGAACAAACGCTAATGTCCGACCGTTCATCATGCTGTGCCAAACAACTGAGAAAAACAATTTGCTTGTTTCACATTAATAATGATGGCAATAAACGTGTGTATTTTGTCACTTTTCGGTGTTTTTCATGAGTGGCTCACAAAAGTGAGCCTGAACTGTGGCCCGTTCATTTCGCCAAGTCGTTTTCATATTGTATTCATATTTAGTCTTTTTTCGCGTGTTTCTCTCTCTCCTATGATCTCTTTCTCATTCTCACGCTTCTGGTTCTGATTTTAACTCTTTCTTCCTCTCACTCTCTGTTCCTATTACTCTCCGATCTCTCGCGCACGATCATTGTTTTCCTCCTTTTATTCCGTTCGCCGTGGATCAATAATACATTTTGGTTGGCTTGGGAAACGCTAGAGAGGGAAAACAAAATGTTAATTCGAAAATTCCCCGCTAAATTGTTGACAATGAACAAATAGCATGCTCACATGCGCATCGCGTGCGCGCACAAGTTTTATAAATAATCCGAAGACATGCAAAGGGAATCCTACAGACAGCGCGGATCCTGTGCACAACTTTCGTACGCTTCTTCTTCTTCTTCTTCTTCTTATTCATGCAAGCTACTCGAATTGTAGACTCTCGCTCATGCTTTGTTGTGTCGATTGCGAACATCGAACGTTGTGATACGCGCCCCTCAAAATTGTTCAAACCCGTGGAATTCAGTCCTTTCGCAAACGTACACACGATCACGAGTGTTTTCTTCTTGTTCTGGTGTCAAAGCGCGTACAATTTGTGTGTGGTTTTGCGTAGTATATCGAAGTCTTTACATTTAAAAGCAAAAATCGTTTATTCAAGAAAATATCAATCGCACGGTAGAAACGGTCAATTGTAATTGGCGGAAATTGAGTGAGAATAACAATAAAACGGCAAAACCAACACGTTTTCGTAATTAAACTTTGAAACCGCGAACAAATTAGACTAGAAAACGTAATTGGAATTTTAGTAATTGTGTGCAATTTCGCGTGAATTTTGATCGGTTTAAGAGCTTTCTAATGGCTGTTTGGATGAGATATGCGCATCGACGGCGATCAACGTCGAAAAGTAATCAAGATTATTGCAAGGTAAATACAATGGATTTTGACTCAAGATCAAAGATTTTTCACACTCTCAAACAGGAACTGGCGCTTTTATGATCTGATGCATCCGATTGTCGAATGAAAACCGACCAACTGGTGATATCGTTAAAGACAGACCGAATGGCTCATATTCTTCCAAATCCGTATTATATCATCGTCATTTGGCCCCTGTTTTGCCTCACCTTCTAGTCGCTCACGGTGTGAATCAATTCAAAATTCCTTTTTTTTCGCAATATTCCGTCGCTATTTCCCGCAAATTTCCAACGGTATCTTAATTCTTTCTCGGCCAAAACACACTTGTTTCGCATCATTCATTTCCACTTTGGAATTTCTCTCGACACAAAATCATTATTTATGGGTTTTAAACGGCGCCAAACATAGAGAAATATCTCAATTTCCGATTATTCATGTGGGAAATTAAAAATTTTCTCCGAAATTAATGCGCTAGTCGTCATTTGTTAGTTTTTTTTTGTTTGAAAATGGATTGGAAAATCTGCATGCGACAGTTCACTAAGTGGTTTTTCCTAAAGAAAAAAAAAAACGATTTTGCCAGAAAAATGAGAGAGAGAGAAATATCGACATCTGACCATATCGCGCGCTGTGTGTGTGTGACGACGGTGATGATTATTATTAGCTGAATATTTACTACACGTCGTCTTAATAATATTCGATTCGAACATTCGGCGGCGGAGAGAGAGAGGGAGGGGGAGCAAAGTCTTGCACTACAAATTTTAATATAATTTACACACAAAAGGAGAAATGATTATTAAATTGTCGAAATGGTCGCGCGTCTCGTAGAAGTTGTCTCTCGTTCCGGGCTATTTTTAATATTCGCGGAGTTCCATCTCCGCCGTCCGATAGAGAGTGAGCGAGCGAGCCGTCAGCTGTGATGCATGTGACGTTGTGCGTTTGAATTTAAATGCCAAGTAATTTGTTTACATTTGAGACTAACGAAAATTTTGTGTGTGTAGACGAGATATCTGACGAAAATCATTACGCGTGAGTCCACTGCTTTTTTTCTCGTAAATTTTATCAGTCGTAGTCTCGCAAAACATACGCACAACAATAATAATAAAAAAAGGCGAACGTGATGCGTTGTTTTCTTCACCTTCGTCTTATAAGTTGCGATTTAGTGTGATGCTGCTGCCCCATTGTTGGTTTGATGAAGTTTTTAGAACGCAAATTGAAATGGGGCGCTGACAGCGAAAAAACAATCGTGAAATTTAAGAAATGTTGCGATCGGAAAAAAAACGAATGGACCCCGACATATTTGTTTGTCTTTTCTTGGCTCTGATCCACTATAAGCACTCTCCGCACTCTCGGCTAACTCACTTAGCACACAGTCCAGATATTTATTGTATCATCAGGTTGTCATTGGAACATGGTTTATGAGGCCCATTAGGCAACAATTTCAAAAGGATCGCCACACATTTAATGCAAATAATTTGCAAAGCAAAAACTTTAATTTGCTTCTTCTTTTTGTTTCTTTCTCTATTTTTAGCGTCATTCACATCCAGAATTTGAATATGAGCGACCGTTGTCCGAAGTCAATTCAGAGATTAGCTACGATGCGCTGTCCGACAAGCATTTCAAATCGTCGAATGACATTCGCATGTTGAATAATCGCATGGTTGATTATGATGGCAGCGGCGGTAGCCAACGTGGCAGCATGATGTCCAGCGAGAACAGCGAATCAGGACGTATGATTTCAGGCACCAGACGCAATTTACCAAAGCATCAACGACCATTGACACGCTATTTACCCATCATGTCCGCCGATTTGGATCTTCGGCTACACATCGAAAGTGCCGGCCATCAAGTCACACTCTGCCCACATGTCATTATCGATTCGTTCAGCTGTCGCGGGTAAAGATCTTAAAATATTTTTCGCAACTTTTCATTCGCAGCCATTTCATTTATGTTTCGATTTTGTTGAGCTATAAAAATTCAATCTTTTGCTGAACTCATGAAAAAAAAAAAACAAAATAAATAAATGGTTTTTCTTTTTTAGATATCTTCACAAACTCGGTGCCACATTCCACGGTTGGTCCAAGCGATGGTTCGTTCTCGATCGACAGAAAATGGCACTCATTTACTATTCAGACAAATCGGAACGAAAACCCAGAGGTGGAGCATACTTTTCGGTGAGTTCAAATCAAAAATTTATGCAAATAAAAATTCTGTATGCCAAAACTTGAGCATTCATTTGAAAAACCAAAAAATACGCAACGCAAATCATCAATGCTTTCCTTTTTCTTCCTCAGACCATCGATGAAGTGTATTTGGATCACTTGAACACATCAAAAAGTGGTCGGCCTCATTGTACGTTGATTGTGAAAACAAAACGGCGAAGCTATCATTTGCAGGCCGCATCAGATGCGGCTGCACGGATTTGGATCGATGCGATTATCACCGGCGCTCAAGGAAATATTGATTACTAAATTATTCGGCATACTACACACAAATTGATCCGTTTTGGCATCATATATAAAAGCCATCACCCAACAATTTCAATATAAGAATGCAGTCAAGCATAAGTCAAGCTGCTTCAATTCTATGTATTAACGCTGCCAATTGTAATTTTGCTACCAAATTTATGTTTTTCCCCACTGAAAATCTGCTGCATCTTTTTCAAAGTTCAATTGAATGTGTCGGAACAAATAAACAATTCAATTATTTTTCGCACTTATTGAATTCTATCCGCGACGTTTTGATTTTTTCGAACGAAAAGAATGGCGTGAATCAATGAAAAGAGTAAAAACTTGCATGTATTTGTAAATATTATGTTGCTACCCATTGAGTTAGTTGTATCCATCACATCGAAAGCGACGGATGTGTTTTTAAAATGAAAGAAGGAAAAAAAAATAAGAATAGAATTCAATGCTAGTGTTTAGTGTCAATTTTAAATCCAATTTGTTTGAATGTTTCTCTCTTTCCGAATCGAAATTGAATAAACAACGTTCCTAAATCCAAATGATAGACCAATTCGACTTCCACGTTTGTATTTTTATCATATTAGAAGCCAAAAGCCTTGTGCCTAACTTCAATTCTTTCAGCTGGTTCACACGAACAGTACCTTTTGATACTGCTTTGAGTGATGACGTTTTTTCCTCTAACATGGACCAAACAATCTGGCTTGGGACATAAAACCAAAATGAAATTAGATTGGTGCCTTTTTATGAAAAGAAACAAGAATACCCCATTCGATTTGCTCACATTGAATTAAACAGCTCAAAACGAGAGAGAAAAAAAAAACTTGTATCAAGTTCTTTATTACACATTACAAAAATGGACAAATTCAAACCGCCACTTTTTTTAATCGTAACAAAACCGAGGGCCTCGGTTACCGAGCACCCAAAATCGGTTCGACTACCTTTACTATTTTCAATCAAATTGCATTAAATACTTATGATCATCAAGTTTCGACGGGGTGAAAATGATTATAATCATAATATAGATACGGTGACATAAACAAAACCTACTATTTACTAGCACAACTCAAAAATAAACTCACCATATTGCTTAAGTTTTATTGTATTTTATTTTATTGTAATGGCATTTTTCTTTTCTTCAAACGTATGAAATAAATGAATACATATATTTAAAATGGTCGACTTTTTCTTCTTTATCTGCTAGCAGTTTGTTTTTTAGGAGCGATTAAATCGAGATTATTTCGATCCAACTCGAATGATTTCTATTTTCGATAAATTCTGACTATATCATGACTTGATAATAACTTACATGGCAATTCTATTTTAACCTTAATTCATAGTGATAACACTTAAATATTACAGAAAAAAAGGAATTGAAAGACTCGCCTCTATCAACAAAATAAAAGAACATTTAAAACAAAAAGCTAAAAGTATGCAACGATTACTAAAGGAGGGACACGAAACTTAAATGAGTAAAATTAGAACATTATTCAACGATAATAGGAAAAATAGAAGAAATTAGTGAGTTTGGTTTGCCAATGTTAACGCTTATGGACATATTGTTTATTGTTTACAAAGTAGTCCCGTTAGGTCTTCCATAAGCATTGTATTGACAGTGTAATACGCTCTGCAAGCGATTTTACTAGAAATAATAGCACAATATTAGCACTTTTGCACCAAAACTAGAAAAATTAGAGGACATGAAGCAAAAAATATATAAAATTGAGTGTAACTAGACTCTAATAGAATTTGTGTCTCGCCCCTAGAACGATTACGTTTGAAATTCTCAAATTTCTATAAAAAAATTGAAACCTTCGTCGAACAAGTTGAAAAATCAATTTTAAATCATTGCAAAACGTATCGATGATTTTCAGAAAACTGAACAAAACACTTTCTATCACAGACAATTTTCTTGAAGACATTTTTCAGATTTGAATAGTCCCAATTTGTTGAATATAGATTGAAAACCTTGAAAAACAGCTAAAAATGCATATTTTCATCGATCCTGTAATTGTGGCTCACTTTTTTATTTTGCTAATACAATCTCTTTTATCCACTGTGTATATTCACTGACTCCTGGAATTTAATTTTAGTTGAAAAAAATATTTTAATCGAAAAAAACTCAAAGGTAATGAACAATATTTTAAATGATAATGTTGGAAAATGAATCATTTTAGGCGAAGAAATTATTTTTAAAAAAAATTTCAATGAAAAAAAATTAAGAAATTAAAAAGATTAATTAAAAAAAATTACTAACGTGTATAAATTCCGGGTAATCCAGCACGTGCACATCCGATTCCCGTTGATACAATGCCGATCAAACCATCATTGTTCGATATCATCGGTCCGCCTGAGTCGGCCCAGCATGCATCGACACCACCCGTCTTTTTGCCAGCACACATTTGTGTTGATTGAATTTTCTGCGTCTTTTTCTCATTATCGAATGATGCCTGGCACTCACTGTTGCTCCACACTTTCACTTGGGCGTTCTGCAAGATATCGGGTCTTGTGCCTGTATTTTCGAATAAATTCCATTAAATTCGATTATAATCATGGTATTTCAATATTTTTTTTGGAAGAAATTGAATAGCGAATTTCAACAAGACAAACGAATAAACATTAGTTTACGAAAAAAATGAATGTTAGTGAAGTTGGAAGTAAAATGAATCCATATTCTTCATAAAGATATTTCCACATACCAGCATCAAACTCCTCAGCCAAATTGCCCCAACCCGAAATCAGTGCGACTTCATTGTGATACGTTTTGTTCTCTCCATTTTGATCTGCCGAGATGCAAATGGGCTGTACGGATTGGCTGAATGTTATCGGTCGGCTTATTTCGAGCAAGGCTATTCCAAGAAAAACGAATCAAAATCAAATTAATCTAATTCGAATATTTTCATCGATTCTTTCTCTATCTTCAATGTGATATTCAAAAACAATTGTTGGAAATTGTTTATTTTTTTACAATTGCGATTTTCTCAATTCGTCAGAATTGCAAAAATCGCAAGAAGAAATTATTTTTTAAACAAAAATTCGTCTTTACCGATATCATTATCCGGTCGCTTGCATTCATATTTTGGATGGACAACAATGTTGCGGAATTCGATTTCATAAGCCGATTCAGAGGGGCCGTCAATCGTGTTATCGTTGACAGAGTGTTTGTTTTTAAATTCCGATATTGCGTGTAATCCTAAAACAGCCCGTATACGTGACGGCGGCATTATTTCGTCAAAGCCACTGGAAGAGTAGTGTGTTTGGAAATGGCACGAGTTAGTTATTATCAAGTTCAAGGTCTGAGTCGAGAGTGAGAGAGAGAGAGAGGGAGAAGGTATAAACTCACGTGCAAACACAGTGTGCCGCTGTCACAAGCCATTGTTCATTGATAATGGTGGCACCTGAAATCAAAAACAATCAAAACAAACGCCATATGACTCGACCGTTCGTAATTTGGGAATTATGAAATGGGCTAACCGCAAAAATGTCCACCGCGACGCGTCAAACTGGCAATGTACGGAATTGATCCACGTACCGCATTTGCACCACCAACAATTCGTCCATCACGTATTTTTCCGTGGTTTCGGCACGGTACCGACGACACTGAATCAGTTGGAAAAATAAAAACAATAAAACATTTCTGAACACAGATAACAAATCAACGGAAAATTTCTGCAATAAATGGTAAATATGAAAGAAAATCGGTTTAACATTGTACGATAGCGATAACATTATAACTGAACATTATCAAGTTGCATTGCCTTGTCATTCACCTTCAAAAAATGATTCTAATTCCTAAACACAAATGTAAAAAGTTTCCAAATCATTTCTAGCATTGAAAAAGGCTCGTCTATCACTTGTGCGGCTCTCGTGTGTGTGTGTGTGTGTGTGTGAGAGAGCGTTTTTCTCTCGATCGAGGCAACATTTCTAGCGTTGATTCACGTGTAATTTATTTAACGACCATGCGGGCGCAGAACTAACAAAATTTACAACATTTATTGGAAATTGCGACGCGTATTTTTAGCGCCAGACACTCAGAAAGAATCAACCAATTTATCAGCTGCCGACAACTATTGAGCTATTTATAAATTGCCGTTTTTTTCTGCTTTGTTTTTGTTCATTCAAATATTTAAACCAGAAACGTTGAGCGGATTTTACGAAATTGCGAAATTGATTCAATGAAAGTGATTATTTGCGTCGATTATTACGGATTAAATAAAATGAGATCAACTAGTCATTGGCATCGATTCATTCATGAAACAGATGAACAGATGACGAGAGATTTGTCGGCGAGTTGAACTACAACAAAATTGGAGAATTTTCCGACTTGAACGGCAAGGCTGAAAAACAAGCATTTTTTTCGGTTTGAACTGAATTCCGATCAAATGAAAGACGAAAAACAGCAAATCAGTACTGGTTGAAGGGAAAAATTTCGATTTTGCATCAGACGCCAATTTCGAAATTGATGATGTTACACCGAAAAAAAAACCACCCACACGGAACTTTTTTAAACGATGATAACATTTTTATCTTTATATTCATTTCAGTGAGAAGGTCTCTAAGGTTCGATATCTCGAGTGAATCATCGGTTGTAATTTGTATTTCTATTTGCATTACTCAGCAAATGAGCGTAAGATTCATTCAGCAAGAATTCGAGTCAATTGAACGTCGTTATTGAAAATTCTAACAAACAAACGAAAAAAGCAGCAAGAAGCGCGAGAATTTACGTCAATTTCATTCACATTCGGAGAAAATTCCATAATTTACGATCTTCAGAAAATAAATCACTCGATTGAAATGACCGACGTTATAATACGAAAATCGTGTTTCATTCTTTGGTTTGAGTCTAAACAAAGTGACCAGCTAGATAATTAAACGTTATTATTAACAAAATGATTCATTGCCTCGGATATTTCGTCACTTGACAGGCCCCTTTCTACGCTATTTTCTCCGTTTCGGAGAATCGAATAATACGTTTCATTTGATTTGCTTGTGAAAAAGCAGAAATTGAGTTCGTTGTGAGCCAAAAATATGATAAAAACTGAAAATGTTCCAAAACTTACGACTCATCTGGGCATCAACAAGCATCACACTCCATGCTAATGCTACGAATCGACACACCAAATATGACTTGATCATTTTCACAGCTTTCGCAACAGCAACAAATATTTTGATTTAGCTCAGGCCCAGACAAAATTACAACCAATTTACAGAATTCCAAAATTACGGTGTCACTTAATTCCTTCCGTTTTGAAGTTGATCAAAATGGTCCACTGATTGAATAATCCAAAGAACTTGGAAAAAGGTGTAGGAAATCTATACAAAAAAAAAATCGTATTGCTTGTTCAATTTTGATCAAACTTCAGGAAGGAAGCTAAGTTAGTACCACAAACGATCGACTGAAACTAACGCATCTGTCACATCAAACGACGCATTTATAGTAAAACTCAAAAGGAAGCCAGTCGTCGTATTGTTCAATCAGCTGGTATACCTGTAACTGATTTTCGCACGTGCAATTACCACACATATCATACGCCACCACAATGCGGCGAACCGTGTTTCAACCAACAGGTGTTGTTTTTTTTGTGTTTTGTTTTGGTTTCGAGTTTGCCTTCATTATTTGCTCTAAGCACCGATAACCGATCGTTGAATTTTGAACTGTGCCAAAAAAAAGAATCCAAACAAATTCTCTGCATGGCATTACACTCACTCTCTGTCTGTTATCAAAGTTCGTGAGAACCATTCGAAAATAGAACGTTTTATGGCGGTTACATGAAAAAGTCACTGACTTGCATTGTTTTGACTCGACTGTTTTTTTTTCGTCTGCTGCTTTTTCGATGAAGTTCAAACTGAACAATTGAACCCATTTATGTTGTTACACGTGCTGTCGTTTCGGCTCGATTCTTCCGGCCTCTACTTTGATCACCTATCAAAACATTGAAAGTAGTCATTGAAGTTGAACCCAAGTACACTTGAGGCGAAGCAATGGAGATTTTTCGAATGGAAAATTTTGCACTCTGATGGAACATCACAAACGGAATCGGTCTATTTTTAACCAGTTATCGTTCTCAGGTAAATGACACGCCATTGCAACCTTTTGGTGATTTAGAGAGGTTTTTTTTAATTTTTTCAGAGAAGAGTTTGTATTTCAAGTGAGTCATTTCTAATGATAATTGTTTTTTTTTATTGTTGAGTTCAATGCGACTGTTTTCGAATAAAAAAAACCATTGACTATAGTTTATTATAATAAACTCTGAAATTTTAGCCATTTTTGTCTATATATTGGATATATGAGTCCATTCAGATGTACATTTAGAGAAGCTGCCTTTCAGTTACAACCCTTTGAGATTGAGCCAATCAAATTGATCGAAACGGGAAATGCTGTCAAATAGTTCAGAATATTCTATAATAATCCAAATCTGATGTCTGAATCCGACACGTAAAATGTCATGATGTCCCTCAAAACAAATAGAATGTTTCAACACATTGAAATGGTCGCAATTTGTTGGTTACCGTCATTATCAAAACTTGGTCGAAAAATCGAACCCCTTGAACATAATCATCATCAAACTTTGGAAAAAATCACCACCAAATACCTACATGGACTCAGCAATATCAAATCGAAGATGTTTTCATGCGTTTTCCGTTTTCTTTCCTCTTGATTGCGTTGAACAACATTTAGTCAGATTGAAGGAATCCCATATTTCAATGAACCATCCAACTATCCATTCTTCTTTTACATTCATCTCGGGCATTTGACTTGATTTTGTATGATTTCATAGGGTTGTGAACGTTGGTCCAATATTGTTGTCTAATAAATCGTCATTTTCTTCAACCTCTGAAAAATGCCAGCAAGCAAAGTCATAGTTGTAAACCAATTTGTCTGGTCCAATACTCAAAACTATCGCCCAATCAAATCAATTAAAAAATAAATCAACCCAAAAATTACAACCATTTTCACGTATTCCGCATAATTATTTTATTAGTTGTCACTTCATTGACTAATAATTTTTTTTTTAATTAGTCCATCATCAATTTTACATGTAAATATGTGTGTTTTTTCTCTCATTACAATAAATAGTGTGATTTGCTCTTTAAAATGTCTGCATAATTTGTTCTCTCAATTTATTGTATGTCTTTTTTTTCGTCGACTATTTGTTTTCAGCATTCATTTCATTTTCTATGTGAACTGAATTCAATTAGGTTTGTATAGCTTAACGTCCATTTGAGTGCCAGTGATAATTGGGCAAAATAATTATCTGCCACCGTATTTCTGTCTCTCTTCATTTCATTCAAATAAGACTTGTCTTTTTTCCCTATCCACAATCATTAACCACAACCAATTTTGCAACTTACATAAGAACCATTGGTCAATGGTTTGTCTGTCTGTCTTGTATTTTTCTTTTCTTCCTGGTGAATTTATTCAATCAGTTTTCTTTTGTGTGTGTTTCGTTATGCGCTTAGCGCATTAAATAATTTACTTAAAATTAGTGAAAATTCGAATAAAAATAAATCCGAACGCGAATTTGCCATTTGTCCGAGGGGCAAATCACTCTAAAGTAATTTGTAATAGAGAAAGTAATCGAGAAAGTAATTTACGTGTAAAAATCTCGATTACTTTTAAAAAAATTGAAAAGTAATCGAGATTCTCTATTACAAATTACTTTAGAGTGATTTGCCCCTCGCATTTGTCTATGTGCAGTGTTTTTCTTTTCTTTTTGAGTAAAATTCAGCAAAATAAATTTGACTAGTTTTTTTTTGTTTTTGAACGGCTATTGCACGAATCTTTTCAATGTCTTTGGGCCTCTGAAAGTGGGCATTTTGGTTGATGAATTTTTGGTTTTTCGACTTAAATTAGCAACCGAAGCGAAACCGAAAATTTCTGCTTAAATCGAAATTCTTAAATCATACGAACAAACAATGAACAATAATTGAGTATTATCCAGAAAAATTCAACACATCTTTCTAGCTCTCAATGATCTAAGTGGTTTTCTTCACTTTGAATTTATATGACACTACAATAAATACAATTTTTTTTTTTATTTCATTTAGTTTATTGTTTTTTTTTCTGGGTTTTTTTCTTGCTCATTTTTGTTGTTGTTGTAGTTGTCTTAATTGTGTTGTCGGTTTTTCGTTACGAAATACTGTTTATAAATACAAATAGTGATTGTAACACCAATTATATTTTCTTAATTCACTTTAAATATTTACTCGGCCATTTTATTTGCTCGATCGCGTCCTTAAATTTTACATACGATAAATTTGAATGGGATGACGTGTGTCAAAACGCAATAGTTTCCAAAAGAAAAGAACATTTAAATTGATACAACCAAATTGTTTGCTGTCAAACTTTGTCTCGCTCACATCAATTGTTTCACTGACTCGTCCGTGTACGAATTGCTGTTAGCGTAAAAGAGATGTTGTTCGCAGTAAACTCAGTTTAGATTTTCTTTAAACAACAAAATCAGACTAGGTCGATACCGATCACTTTCAAAACAAACCAAATGATGAACAACTAAATCGCAAATTAATTTACACTAAATTCATTAGATTTGTTTTTTTTGTTTCCTTTAAATTAAACTCCCTATCTACGAATTTGATTTGTTCGTAATTCAAAATGATGATCAAAAATGTGCCTAAATTTGTTGCTGTCATTTGATAACTTGCAACTGAAGATATATATTCATGTGATTTCAATTTTTAACTCAATAAAACATTTTCGTGGAAATTCATTAGCCAAAAAACTAGATTATTTTTTGTGCTGAGTCACGTCCTTCTTTTTTTTTTTAAAGAGACTTTTTTTCGGCAAAATTCAAGCTAAAAGAAATTGAACCAATTTTTTCAAATTAAAACGAAAATTGTCTAAACTGAAGCGGCATGAAAGCGATATGATGCAAATGAGACATCTAAAAAGAAAATTAATACTTTAAATGACGTTTAATGATAAAATAAAACGATAATACTGAAGTATGAGCCGGTAGACAAATCAAATGAAATGGCTCTCTTCATCATCTCTCTCTCTCTCTCTCTCCCTCGCTCTCTCTGCGTGTGTATTTCTTTGTTCATTTTTGTGTTTTCATTTTCTCAACGCTTAATTTTAGTATTTCAATGATTTAAAGCTTTTCCTTATAATAATATTAATATCATAATATTTGTTTGTTTTTTTTATGTATATATTTTGGTATTACTCTTTGTAAATTGTACACAGGATGCTTAGCACACACATGCACACACTGTTCAAATTTCAGTCGAGTGCTTGTATTTGGTTTCATTTTTGTTGTTATCAATATGTTTTTTTTTGTTGGTTTTTGAAATTCGCTAAATAGGAAAAAAAGCGTATCAAATTAAAAAATGCCTCAAAAACGAGAAATTCTCTCACTCCGTCGTTTTATCTGCTCACCTTGAAAGCGATGTATGTATTTGTGATCTATTCTATATGTTTTTGGGTGTATTTGTGTTACGTCTACAGCCTGATTCAATGAGTGTGTATGGTACTTGTTGTAATCTAATATGGTTAGCAAAACAAAAATTCTGCACTATTGTCCTGTATTACAATGCTTCGATCGATGTGCAAATGGTCGGTATAAAATGGGTTTTTGTGATCAAACTTTTTTTATTTATTTCTTATAAACTTGGCATCGCGGAATCTTGAGTAAAATAATGGGTCTTTTTTCTCTTCTTTGTTTTTTATTTCTCTTGCTCACTAATGCATGCGTTGAAATGGTTTCGTTTAATTGTGAAAAAATCTTAATTAGCGAATCATGTTATATCATCTATGTGTCTTAAATCTACTTGCTTTCAACATTATTATTTCGTGGTGCCAAGTTGGGTGTCTGGTTTTCTTCCATCGAATCGACATATCATTTATGATTGTGTGTGTGGGTGCGTGTCTGCGTATAAATTCTTCATTGTGAAATTGTCCCTTGTGTTGATGGCTTACTTTCGAATTTGGTTGAGTTTTTCTCTTTTTCCTTCCCTATTCAAATATGTTTTCTCTAAATCTTAAAATTGGGGTTTTCTTTTATTCGATTTCTTTTTTTCCTTTTTAACACTTTTTGAGGTGTTGTAGTCCATAGAATTGTGTCTTTTAGTGAAAATGGTATTTTTCGATCATTTTTTTTTGTACTATATGAAATGTAGCACTGTTTTGTTTCATTTGAACAATCTTAATATTGGTTAGCAAGATAAATAGCGTCTAAGGTTTAGTTATTGGATTCATTTCTAGCAGACATTCGTTTCGGTGCTTGGAAGCAGAGCATTTGTGTATTTTTTTTCTCCTTCGGTTGAACTGGCGATTTCCGTCCAAAATCCTCCGGTTGCGCCTATTGCCCGTTTTTTCTTTCTTGAATGCTTCCATTTTTTCTATCGTTTTAAAGCGATTTGCAAACACGCCAAACTGTCGATGCTCAATAGATTCTTGACGCTTAGAAATCGTCGTGAGAAATGCTTTCGAATGGCATGAAGAAAATGTAGCAAAGATTCCACGGAAAATCGAGTTGTTTACATATTATTCGGTTGTTGTTGTTGTTGTTGTTTTTGAAGAACTGAAATTGAAACTGAATTTATTCCAGAAAATATTGTCAAGAAATAATTGTTTTTCCATACATATGTTTTGAAATGAATTAACAAAATTTCTCTTCTAACTAAACAGAATAGTCGGACTAAATACTAATTATCATTTTTTTTTTTGTGTTTCTGCGTGTAAAAAATCTGTCTCGGTGTCATCAATTACCTCCCTTTTTTATTTAAAAAAATATCAATACCATGTAAACGTTTTCGTTGTTGCTGTGTTTCATATTTGTTTTTGTCACAATTTTTTTTCATTTTGTTTCTTTTAAAAAATAAATAAATTATCGAAATTATTAATCTTTCTTTTTTGATTTGTAAATTTTTTTTTTGCTTTCTATTTTTGACTAAATCAACAACTAATCTCTGAATGATTCTCTTTGGCTGTTGTATATCGTTCCGAATAGCCCTGAATCGTGAATGGCGAATTCAATTTGTCTATGTCATTGTTATTGCCAGACACGTTCGTTGTATTGCCCGTTAATGATGCATCTTGTTGTGCGTTTGTCATCTGAACATTTGCATACGATTCCAGTGTCGATGGATCCAATGTGATTGGATTGATGGGACCTGTGCGGATGACGCAATCATTTATTATTAGATTTATGTTGAAAGAAAATCAAAGCAAAGGTGAAAAATGATTTTCGAACAAAAAATTGGAAAAGAAATGATTTGGGATACATCATTTGGCTGAAAATGAATTAAATATTAATAACTAAAGTTATGCCATTTGCTCTCACCATTGCTCGTATTACTCGAATGATGATTATTATTTGAATTATTTTTATCGATTTGGCCGTTGCCATTGCCATTGCCATTGCCATTGCCATTGCCATCGATGAATTGTTCGTTCATGGCGCTGGACAAATGGTTTTTGTGTGCAGTTAAATCGAATAGAAGCGGTGGATTTGTCAATCCGGTTGGTGTTTGCTGTGGTGTATCAAGACTAATTAGCTTATCGCTAGATATTGATAGACTGGAAGTGAGCTGTTGTTGATTTGGTGATGTGGTAAATGTGGTGGAACCATTTTCCGGCGGTGTTGGCATTGATCGAATGTCGAATGGTGTCGATGGCGATACATCACCAAATGAAATTGGCGATTTTTCGATGCGAGGACTTTTGTCGGACGAACAAACGGCCCGCATTTCGATTGGTGGCGAATATGTTGTCATCGTTTCGGGCAAAGTGATGCCTGGAATAGATACCGAGTTTTAGTGATTGAAACAGAAAATGGAATGAAATGTGATTTTTAACGAAAAAAAAAGTTCAATCAAGAACAAAATCCAATCGACTTTAATTCAAAAATTGAATATTTGACGAAAGAAATGAGTATTTTGTTGCCTTTGTCTATGAACCAACCTGTGCCTTCGTTGAGCAATCGTTTGGCTATATTTCTCGAATCCGGCAACGGTATCAGATAATCGGATGAGTTGGGCATTTGAAGGCAGAAATCATCGTTTGGCGGACGCATAACGGTTCGATCACGTTCACTGACTGTTTCACCGAAGCAATGTGGTATTGGTTCTTTCATCAGTTCTTCGTTTCTCGCAAAGCCGAGCAGTTTATGTAGTAAATGTTGAAAAGTGGGCCGAGCATCGGGAAGTTGCCAACACGATGACATTAAATTGTAAATAAATGCTGGGCAACCGTTTGGCGAATCCAATCGGCCACCGCCCGTTACTAATTCCATAACTACACGATTTGGTAGGCCAGTGTATGGCATCAAACCCATGCTGAACACTATTGAAGGAATGAAAATAAATCAAAATTTAGTTCAATCTCTCTCATCAAACCAAACAAATCGTTCCAATTTCAAAATTACCTTCCCACAACAGCACCCCGAAAGACCAGACATCGGTTTTCGATGTGAATATCCCGTCGAGGAATGCCTCCGGTGGCATCCATTTAATCGGTAGCATTGCCTTGCCACCTTTTCGATAATAATCCGATCGATAAATATCACGCGCCATTCCAAAATCGGCAATCTTCACCACCCGACCCGGGCCTTTTGTGCTCAGCAAACAATTTCGTGCGGCAATGTCACGATGAATGAATCGTTTGCTCTCCATGTATCGGCAACCTCGGGCCACATCAATCGCACAATGAACCAAATCTTTCATGGTTAACGGAGATGGTCGCTCCGGTTTATGACGACCTTCACGTAAGAAATTTTTCAGATCACCTCCGGCCAGCAATTCAAGCACAATGAAACGTGGATGTCGATCAAAGCACACACCAATCAAATGCACGATATTTGGATGCCGAAACTTTGCCATAATTGCGGCCTCCATTAAAAAGTCCGCCTCAGCCTGGCCGGTTGACATTTCCGGTAAGGTTTTTACGGCAACCGGCATCTCCACCATATCGGTGTCTTTGTATTTGAACGTACCTTGGAACACTTCGCCAAATGCACCCTGTCCCAGCGCTCTGAAACACACGAAAACAATGTTATTAGAGAAAAATTAATTAATTGGCGATTTGAATTTTCCAATCGATTTTCGAGTCACTTTTAATCTGTTGATTTTCCATTTAACATTTTCAATTCCTTATCTCTATGTACCTCTCTTTCTCGTTATCAATTTCCCACCGAATTACTAAAACTTTAATCATATCGAAACGTTTACACTTACTTAAGCATCGACAGATTCTCTCTGGTCACATGCGGCAAACTCTTTATATCCACCGCACCGTTCAACATGCAATCATTTCCGTAGTTTGGATTAAAGTTTGTTTGTTGCTGATCCTCGGGATTATGTCGCAATCGACTTAACTGTAAATCTTGCTCCAGCAAGACTTTGTGTCGCATCGCAATTTGCTTCTTTCGTTGATATCGATTGTCTGAAAATACGTGGGATATGGTTGGTTTTCGCTTGAATAATTGATCGAAACGACTGTCCATGCAAAATATGAACAGCAAAAAGGACAGGAGAAAAACAACCGAGCACAAAGTTCCAAATTGAGACTCTCAATGGACACTTACATAGTATGAAAATCAAAGCGGCCAACGCTGCTATTAACAGTATCGTAACAACAGCAAAGAATATTATCAAATATTCCATTGGGATTTCATTCCGGTAAATTGCTGCACGCACGAACAAAACAAGAGAAACAAATAAACAATTTTTTTTGATTAGTTTGGGATTTTGATTTATGTCTCCCTTTTTCCCTGATTAAAATGTGAAAATGAATTTGTTGACACTTACGTTCACATGCAGTTTGGTTATCCTTTTTCAAGCGCCATCCATCCGGACAAATGCACCTCACATTCACACTGAATTCATCTAAAACAACGCAACGATAATCACAGCCGCATGCTGGATGAGGTAAGGCCGGCACAATCACCACCGATCCATGACCAATATTATCACCAGCATAAATAAATGACAGATCGGCAATGCTTCGCTTCATTCCAATGTACGAGGTGCCACCTTCACCATTCATCGCTGATTTGTACGTTGATCCTCCAGCATAGCCACCACCACCACCTGTAACATTGGAAACAATCAAGTTTCGATTAATTTCCATCCATTTTTCTATCTTCATTTTCAAATAAAATTGCGAACAAATAGTTTGTCTGATTTAAACAATGCGAAAAAAGATTGAAATTAATTCAAACTGAATGAAGTACCACATCTTGCCAGAACAGAAGCATGGAAATATCGAGCGAAAAAACAATCGTTGCACGTAATAAAACATCATGTGTTCGTCGAGTAAACATTTAATTCATCGATTTCAATCAGATTTAACGGTAATGTGTTTAAGTGCTTTTAATTAAAGCAAGAAACCAAGGCAAACACATGTTTTCTCTACTTCTTAATGCGTCGAGTGTATGTTCTATTCGTCAAGATTTATGATATGTCACAAAATGATATAAGATATTACCTCCTGTTCTGCAACCGCCGCCGCCACCACCAAAACCACCCTGTCCATGGATGCCGATCTCTTTTGATGAATAGCAAGCTTCACCTCCTCGAGCTCCCTCCAGCAAAGAAGCTCCGTTGTACGGATCAAGACCATCATCGCTGTGTGCACCCCAACCGCCACCTTTTCGTACACCGCGTTGAAATTATAATGAAAACCACAAACGAATTAAAAAATGAATAATTTTTTTCTGTCGCTTCGCTGTTTTGTTGTTTCGTTCTCATGAAAACAAATTACGAACTTCACAGCTAGATATAAATGAACGGCACAAGAGGTTTTAATTGAGACAGAGAGATTGTTTACCTGCACCGCCGGTGATATTCAATTCACCATGGCGTTGACCGCTGACTTCAACACGTGCACTATCGTATACTTTGCCATGTTGATTCTTATCCTCCATGGCATGGCCAAAACCCAAGCCACCACCGCCAGCTGCAACCAGCAACGGTACAGCCACTTCGGCCGAATTCAATAGGTAAATGAATGTCGCTCCGCCACCACCACCACCCGATCCATCTTCGATCACAATATCTTTGATCTGCTTGGTTTTGGAATTTGTATTCGTCGATCGGCCACCACCACCATTTGTACTCTCATTACTCGATTCACAGTCATCGTCACGGTGCATAAATGATTTTATACACGCACTTTCACCCTTCTGACCAACCAATATATGAATCTTTTCGTCCTTGTGCAATTCAAACACGGACACAGCCAACGCACCACGCGACGAACCAACGCCACGTGAACCCAATCCTCCGCCAGCTCCTTTGGCGATTATACTGAAAATATGGAATGTGATTTTGAATTTCGGTTACAAGGTGTTCACGTTGAAATTGGTGGAATTGAAACCAAAAATATCAATGCCAAATCTACTCACGTATAATAATTTTCCGATGGCACTTTCCACACTTGAACTCCTTTGTACATTTGATCATCGATTACTTGAATCACACTTCCAGCTTCGGTATTATTGTACGCATCGTTGCAATCTGCTACCGATGGACCCTCTTTGCCGCGAACATTACACGTTGACAACTCGATAACTGCGGAAAGCAACAACAACAAAAATGTTCGTAAAATCCACAAAGGTAAAAACTTGGAACAAAATGGTTTGAATGTAAAAAGATTGAATGAAAAACATACTGGATCGATTGACAAAATCTTCGTGCGGCGTTTTATCTTGTAATATGCGTTGATCGTAGTAATTGTATCCCTGCAAATGTTCGTTCGGTATATTCAGGCCAAAACATTCGGGACTTAATGAAAAATCATCGATCGCCACATCAGAGTAGATTCGCATGCCCATTCGCGCCTCAAACTGCAGATAGTATCTGTTTGGAGAACGAAATGTTGGTTAGATTAGTGCATTGCAACCATTATCAAAAAAAAATTGAATGAAAAATGTCAAAAATCGATTTTCTAGCTCTAGCAAAACTATCCAAAACCGCCTCGGCATTTACCTCGATGTGATGTTCGGCATGACAATTTGAATGCGCACCCAATCACCGCCCAGTTCTCGCGAGCTCCACCACAATGTAGACGTCACATTTTCCTTCTCTTTAATTTCAACGACGGAAAAGTTGAGACTTCCTGCATTTTTTCCAAATTGATGAACGTAAAATCGTGCCTGTGTGTGTATGTGTATTTGCAAATTTAATTAAAAAGGAAGCAGTGTGTTTTTGTATCAATAATAATGCGTTTGTTTGTTGCACACAGTTTAAAATGGTTTCGTTAAAAAGCCGGAAAATGTTTGCCGTATCAAAGTGATTAATTGAATTTGAAGAATGGAGGCAGGGAGAGAGAGAGAAGGTGAGGACAAGTAACAAGAGACAAAGCAAGAGAGAAAGAGAAAGAGAGAGAGAGAAGGTACATACCAGACAGGAGTGTTGGTAGATGGAACTTGTATTTAAATGTGCATACGGTGGTGGATTGAAAACGATGCTATTAATTACGGCGTTGCTAGCGAAGCCCGACAATTTTCTCTTGTCGTCATTCATGGCATGTTGATTCATATTGACGAACAGGTAGTGTCCTGAGTTGTTGTATCGTTCAAAGGTGTGATCGTTGTCTGGGCCAGTTTTTTCCGTTGGCGTTGGGCCGCTGTGTCGTTCCCAAACCATAATCGCTTTACCTAAATTGAAAGTACACAGCGCACCGAAACACAGAGACACACACAGAGAGAGAGAGAGATAGAAAGAGAGAAAATGAATATATATATATATATATATATAAAACATAAGCGAATGTCGCCGACATAAGTGTTGCCTGTACAACATTAATCGAACGTAATTAAGTTATACGAAAGTGAAATGGTATTACCTGAATTTTGCCATCCGCACCAATCAGATGGATGCTTCCCTTCAAAATCGCACATTCCACCGAATGGGATTTTCTCTGCAGAGAAAAAATAAAATGAAAAATAAACAAAATTTGAGTTGATTTTGACGCAAATTGAGTTGATTTTGGGTGTGCACGGGTAAGATAGAATGGTGCTGTTAAAAATCAGCCTGCGGTTGGATCAGTGACACTCATTTTGAATTCTAATTGCGTAAATTTGCAGCAGTCTTTATGTGAACATTTCTGCGTCAAAAACACGGGCTCGCATTCAATCACCCACAAAACATGTGCACGCACATTTCGAATGAATTTGCATGTAACACAACGATACAGGAGGAGGAATCAGAAATTTGAAGAAAAAAATCGAAATCATCTAACGATCTCTGCCGCCGTCTCCTCCTCCTTCTCTTCCATTTTCCACTTACCGCAATTCACCATTTCATCTTCCTTATTATCGCAATCGATGTTGATGTCACACTGTTGCCGCGAATTGATACACACTTCCACTTTATTTGCCGTGCACTTAACATCCGATGTATGGCACTTGCCATTGACGGCCGTAATTTGATTATTTGGCTCAAAACAAGTTCGCATCCGGAGATTATCGATGCTGTATACAGAGCGAGAAGGGAAGAAAAAAAGAAATAAAGAGAAAAAGAGCGGTATTAACCTGCAGATAATCGGTTCAAAATGTAATTTCGGCCGTTCGATTTTTGCATTTAATTGGGTAAAATGCTGTTGCTGAATCGATTCTCTCGACTCACTTGTCGTTTTTTTCCCTCCTCTCTTCAATTTTCTGACATGTGCCGGCACGAGAGGCAATAAGAGAGACAGAGAGAGACAGAACGAATGAGCGATATCAGATTGTCGTGTCAGCAACGTAATCCCAATTGAATATTCAAAATTGAATAGAGAGTGAAAAAAAAGAATCAGCATCATCAACAGCAGCAGCGAGCTTAAGTGCTTCCGCTTTCGATATTATTGAATATATACCTGACATGGCCTCGTTGCTGTGACCGTAAACCACTCGGCACGACCTCGAACAATATGCGAAACTCTTGTGATACACGGCCAATTGGGAACATTTCTTCCGTCCATTTGTTGTTGTCGTTGCCATTACGCTCGATTGGCACCCATGACGATGCCGTCGTTGTGTCATATGAATTAACCGGTTCAATGACAATGCGTAGCTTACCATTTTTATTGCCACTTTGATGGGCAAACATTTCGAGCCGGCATGTCTCTTTGGTCATGTGAAATGTCGGCGATTTGAGTGTCCGTGTTGAGGTGGTGGGAAGCAGGCGTAAATGCAGAAAATTACCTAAACAATTGACAATAGAAATGTTGTCGTTGTTTTTGTTGTTATTTTCTATTAATCCCAAAGCAATATCGGATCATTATCATCAGAACAACAGAAATGTGAGACCAATTTGGTTTTGTCACTTTGTGAAATCAAATCATTCGAATTTGAATTCGATGGAATTTCGTGTTTTTTTCTTTCTTTGTTTGATAGGATAATAAGCGAAAATAAAAGTGACGAATACAACATTTACCCTTGACATCACCTGCACTATCAACGATGGGTCCAGGCAGCAGGCCGACACTCGTAATATTGCTACCTGTTACCACTTGAAATGTGTCATTTTGTGTTTTGTCCCATTTCCAATGGCATTCCGTTTCGAAATTACACCGAATCCCTGCCGCCTCCTCAGCTTGCGCATTTGAATCTTGGCCATCGTCATTGCGACGATTTGCAAACTGAAAATAGATTTAAAAAAAAAGAGAAATGAAGAAATTATATTTGTTATTCAATGAGGCAACGATGACGTGTGGGAGAGCAAACGAAAGAGTAAGAAATATTCAAATTAACTGTGCTGATGATTTGTTTGACAATGGCGCAATTATTATTAAGGTTAGAATACGAATGCAGCAACGCGCGCGCTGTCATGTACTCGTTTCAAAATGACGACTACGACGACGACATCAACGATGGCACACAGACACAGATAAGTGCTTAAGCATTTAACTCAACGCGCTGAGAGTTTGTCAAATGCTACAATCGACATGAATGAAATGCACGGTGTTATATTATACACAGGTTTTGGGGCGGCACACCGTTGCCTGCTTCGTATAATCATCATAACGACAATAGCAGCATTTAATGACTGTGCAGAGTGTTCGTGTTTGAGTTTGTGTTTGTGTTTGGATTTCAAAATCATTTGGCCACCCATTTGCCCGACTCCTACTGCTCAAATCATTTATTCAAACTTCACACACAAACACAAGCCATCATCATCATCATCCAGAACAATGTAAACACATCAGAAGTGCATTTCTTTCAACACACATTCAACGTGCTAGTCAGCTCAGAGACGTTTTTCAACAATGTCGCACATAAATTATGACTCTTTCATTTCCCAAGCCATTTTTCGCATTTCATTTGAATTCTTTCAAGATAATTATTGTCGCTACTCCTCTCAGCTATATAGTTGATTAAGGTTAGGTGCCCCCGTAGAGACACAAATGACATTTTCAGTTTTATTCAAGGAGAGAACAACAATACGTTCAACACTTTCCATCGATAATTGCAAATTCAAATTCATGGAATTGTCTTACGTTTGCATTGAGACAAAAAAACACATTCCACAACGGAATCTTCTTAATCGCCTAAAACTTTTTAATGAACAGCGTATGGGAAAAATATATATTCGGTTGATTATTTGACAGTCAAATAGTCGAGCCAGGGAAGAATTGTTGATTCAATTTAACTTTCACAAATGAAACAAAGTCAACGCGACTTTGTCCTGTTCAAAGAGCGATATTAGACTGAATTTGTTGACTGTTGCACTTTAGATTTACTCTTTGCGAGGAAAAAAATCATTAAAAAGTATAACAAAATGGCAAAAAAATAAAAAAAACAATCGATAGTTCACAATAGTGTAGATCAATTCAGAGTCTGAATAGACTTTACTGAATAAAACTAACTTGTTTAATGAAAATTCCTTCTTTTCGACTTTTTTACCCAAAAAATTAATTTAAAATTAGAAAAAAAAAATCAAAATAGCATAAATTTGAAGTTTTCCATTGAAAATATCAACAATCACTGAATGAATTGAAACGGAAAAATTAAAAAAAAAGAAAATGCCCCGCGTGAGGATCGAACTCACGACCTTCAGATTACCCTTACATTTTTGATTATGAGACTGACGCGCTACCTACTGCGCTAGCGAGGCTATGAATGTGATGAGCACCAGAACGTTCTTAGAACGGCAAAGCGTTCTAAACGATTGAATGCTGCTACGAACACGTTTTTTTCGACGTTGTTGTTGTTGTTGTTGTGGTCGATTCGTATGTCACATGTCACGTTTGAAAAGAGATGAGAACTTATGTTTTCTTTTGTATCAAATCAATTGAATGAAAACGATTAAACAGAATCTTTGCATATTCACCTTCTTTTGTATCGATTTTGGTTAATTCTTCTTTTTCATGGACATACTTATGGTATTGAATATTAGTAAATAAATAAAATCTAATCCAAAGCAAAGCAAAGCAATGAAACAACATCAAAGTCGACATTTATAAATTATGTACAACGGTTCCATCGTGTTGTCTTCTTTTCAAACATGATCAGACAAAAATATTGATAAAAAACCGAAAAAGAAAAAAAAACTATTGAAACGAAGAGACTAGAGAAGAAAATCAATGAAATGGTGAACGAAAAGTCACGTATTTTCTGTGGCTTCATCATTTTACACCAGTAAATGATATGAGTGGATGAGTTGAAAGCATAAAATCACTATGATAATTTAAACTGTTGTAAAACAATTATTTTTTTTGGTTCGAGAAAAGTGCGGGTGAAGAGAATTTTTTTTTTAAATAAAAACAGCAAAAGGATGACGACGGCAATAAAGAAATAAAAACCGCAGATGCATTCTTTTTCGTATATAAATTAGTCAACACAGTCATTTGTCGTAAATGTATATCTTGACAGTTAATCTGTTGGTCTTTCACATTACAGCTCGTCGTCATTGTCGTTTCCGTTGTCGTTGTGTGCTCGTTCCACACTGCCATGTATCAAATCCACATGTACCATAAAAACACCAAACCAAAACAACGATGCTGGTGTTAAGCACGTAACCTGAACTCGACTCGTTCTTTTTGTGTGTGTGTGTGTGTGTGTGTGTGTGTGTGTTTTCATCGTTCCTGTTCTGTTTATAATTTCAATATTTACGTGAGAAATATTGCGACATGTTGTGGAATTGACAGCATAAATATTTTACTTTATCCTTTGTCACACGCTTTGAGTGAAAGGGAGCGAAAGAGCGGGACAAAATACCAGACAAAATTCTTTTTGTTTGTGTTTATTTTTTTTTCGGTCGTGTGTCGTATCCAGAAATGCGATTGAAAATTGTTACAAGGAGATATAGCGATATGATTGTAGTACAGCATAAACACATTCCCCCCAGCTGATGGAAATAGATTGAAAATCCGACATTTTCCCTACTTAAGAGTTCGTTTTCGTTGCTGTGGCTCTTCTCAATTTACGTCGATTTATGGGAATATCTGTGTCATTTTATCAAGGAAACTACATCGTTTTCTGAGGAGAGAGAGCGGTAATAAATTGCACACCAAAATAAACTATTTTCACAACGAAATCATCTCACTACTTCGGATTTGTAGCAGTTTTTTTTCTCAAGCTATCGATTTTTCGTTGCATTTTTTCGCGATAAAAACGAAATATTACCATGGGCATGTAGTTGTAGTTTTCCCTCCCGATGCGAGAAAAAAATGAATACAAATTGAGATAGATGCTTGGCTTGATTTTCAATTTCATTGAGTGAGATAGTGATGTGTTTCCTTGAATTTCAACATCGCAAAATGCTTTGCAACGAATTAAACAACATTCCATGTCACATGAACATTAAAAAGTCTGCTTGCGATTTTGTATATTCTGTTCTGTTCGTTTTTTTTTGTAGATGAAAAGAATAATTACTTTGTTTGATTGCAAAGCGATCTTGTGTACTGATACCATGACAAAAATGGTATATTCTTCCAACGAACGATATCAGAGCCATAAAACATGAAGTTGACAGTCATAATTTTCGCTCAGAGTAGATAACAACAACAGCAACAACCATTTGAAATCTGTTACATGGTTTCCGCTGCGTGCAGAATCGTATTTTGTATATCAAAAAATTGATACAAAATGCCGGATGAGCGTAAAATTGCATGAAATGCTGTTGCCAGTTGAAGGAGAATCGATTTTTTGTTTCGCTTGCTCGTAACATGCGGTAACTATTCGTCCCAAATAATCCTAGGAACACACGATCGCTTTTACGAGACTGAACTCATAATTCAATCGAAGTGGAATGATCTTCAGCTAGAATCACGCTCGACTTGCGATTTTTGCTCACTTTTGCTTCTCTCACTCTCTCACGCTCGCACCCTTCCTCCGTAATGTGCAACGATGACGAGCACATGAAAAAAAAACCAACAAAATAAATACATAAAATACAAAATCGCCAGTGTATTGTGAACGCGTGCACATCATATTTTTTCGCATGGTTTTGCCTGTATGTCGCTCCACGTACGACTTAACCTAATAATAAATTTAAATATGAACGCATAACAGATTCCCCATTTAAAGTTTTATGGTTAATTCTTGTTGACTGACAGTTATTGTAATCGCTGATATCTTAATAATTTTCATAAAAAGCTGCATGTTCATTTTAATGCCATTTTGGCGTTGCGCGCGCGTATGTGATGAGCGGTAAAGAGCGAGAGAGAGAGAAGAGGACAAGGGTGCGGGAGTGGTAGAGCAAGTAAGAGTAAAGAGATAGAGAGAGAGAGAGAGAAACAGAGCTGGCTCAACTCGTGTATATTCTATTGGGTTCGCCTCTGCCTCTCTTGTTCTCTACCCCACGCAATTTCATCGTACACATCGTTAATTTCTTTAACGTGATAAACGCATGTAATCAACAGAAGCTTATTAAAATCGCGCTTCAAATGGCAAATGAATGATTTCGCAAATAAAGCGTCAGGTTGAAATGATTTTGCGCTCACGCGCTCGCATTTCAATTCTATTCGTTTATTTTTCTATTTAACCCAAACAAAAATTCCTTATTTATTGAATACAGAGAGAATGCGCCCACATGTGGTGTGCGCTATTGTTAATTTTCTAAATATTTGTGAATAAACTGACGGGGAGTGGAGTGGGATGGGGGTGATTGTGTTTTGTTTCATTCATGCTGAGAAAACTGTTTCAACAAATCATGTGCTTGAAACATCGATGCGGATTAAATGCCAGGGAAAAAGCTCAATAAACTCAGTGTACCGTTTGCCATTTGCGTATGAACAGGCATGGGCGGCACTGTAGATCGCTTCCTTCCAGCTAATTTCAGCAGCAGCCGGAAATTGTTTCGTTCAATATAAAGTGCGGTAAATGAGCAGCTACAGCTGACGCACAGAATACGAAAAAAACACACAAACACGCACGCACTCAGGTAATCTTGCCATTATTGTTTTTGGTGTAGCTCATGTGGCCAATTACAAAATGTTAATATCCACTAAATTCACTTGATAAAGGTCATGCTCATCAAATAGTCACAATTCAAGTGGCTGTACAGCCCTTTTTTTCACCGCAAAATACACATGCATACAAAAACACAGCTTAAGCGGATCAAACGCAACTAATATAATTGCGAAAATGGGATCAAATCATGCACAATGTTTGGATTACGCTCTTTAGTTGCCGGTGAGAGGCAGAGAGACTGAACGAGAATGAAAGAGTCAAATGCGGAGAGAACAAATTGATTCCATCTTGTGCTATGTGGAAAAGCTCATTCAGATGAATCTACTTTCAATGAACACATTTAGGTGTGTATGTGTTTGAGAGTGTGTGGTTCATTGAGCCAGTTATACACTATGGTTTTGTTTTTGCTCGTTTGCTTTCCAATAAATTCTATTCACTTTAAGGAAAATGGATCTCAGTCAATTTAAGATAAAAAGATTCAATTAATTGAGTTGAACAACAATTTTGTAACAACTCTTAAAAGGGCAAGAAACTGTCTGTATGAGTGGAACTGTACAGTGCACGCTCGCGCTATCTCTCCCTCTCTCGTGTGTGTATGTATTTATGTCTTGGCTTTTATTCTCATTCCATTCTCGGTAAATTATTCAAAGTCGAGTCGAGTCGTTTTCGTTTTGTTTTACATTAAATAAGCCGTTTGTTTCATTTCCAATCCACGTTGTTCTATTCATTCGGTGTTTTTTTTTTCTTTCTCTTTTATTTGATTTCTATCATTTGCGAGTGGTGGAAGACCAGCCGTGTGCCATTTTATCAATGATGATGATGATGCCGAAAACGTCACTTCACTTATTCGGGATATTTAATTTAGCATTGCATGTGCCCAAGCTGTAAGCAACGATTAGCATTCAGTGCGCAAATTTTCAAGTGAATAGCAGTTTAATTCGCTAAATCCAGTTTGAATGCGTCCGTGTGTGTGTGTGTTTTTTTTTTAGATGATAGAAAACATGCGGATGGATTGAAAGCCAATTGGATGGAATTTCATGGCCGATGGATTGAATGCATACATTACTCGCCAAAATCGATGCAGAGATAATAAAAAAAAACTCACGCACACATACGTAGCACATTGTTCCGTTTTTGCTGACTTTTGAATTTCGCCCAAACAAATGTATCTACATGTTTTTACATACAATGCGTTGTGAATAAGTGAACAAACAAATAAAAAAGGAAACTCTTTCTTTTCTTTCATCAAAGAAAACAACGAAGGGAGATCTCTCTGTAGAGAGATGGAGATAGTCAAAGTGATAGCGACCTTTTCGCACTGAAAAGTCAACTTTACTGATTCGATTTAGTTTGTCATGTCTTTTATCATCATAATCGTATTAGCGGCTTGAATCGTATAACCATATCTCCTTGTCTGCATTCAGTCTCACTCTTTTTCTTTCTCTCCCTATCGCACGCTTCTGATCACTTTGGCTCCTCGAATTTTGAATAATTTGTTGAGAAATCCAAATATTTGCTTTTCACAAAGCAACACAGATGATCACTGTAATCTAAACAAAGCATTTATGATGTTTAGTGGCCACTTAAGAAACAATTTTTTTCCGGAATCAACTAAACATATGACGTTGTGCTAAAAATCCTAAAAAAAACCCATTCATTTGATTTGACCACAGGCCATGCCATTTCTGTACACACAAAATACAAGCGCCACACTTGAGTTTCACGCACACAGCGAAACAGAGAGGGAAAGGGAGGAGAGCAAAAAAAGGCAAACATAATAATTTCCAATGTGGAAAAAGGGCGAAATATATAATTTCTCCAAGCGTTAGATAACGGATCTGAAGAGGTGGTCACTTCTTGACATTAAGTGTTTTTGTTTGTGCATTTTCATGCGTATTATCCTCACATCCAATCCAGGCGGGTTAACATTTGCAAATGTTTCTTCGGGCTTAAGACAGAGAAGAGCTTGCTTGCAAAAATACACTATCGTCGATGTGTTTAATAATGGCATTTGACGAGGGCCGTTCTGCCGCAACCACAAGAGACTCTTGCTCTTTCTCTCTCTCTCTCTCTCTCTCTCTCTCTCTCTCTCTCTCTCGATTTTACATAGAATATTCAGACCTTTTTGGTGTGTTAGATTTATTCATTCTATAATTTTATTCAAATCGACCATTCATGTTAGCGCTGTTTGTGTGTGTGCTCTATCTCCAGTGCGCTATCATTTGAATTGCCGTCGACGAAACTTTGTCTATGTGGTTGCATTTTTGACCAAATGAAATTTTTGATAGTTTCCGTTGTACACTAAATGAAATTATCTATTTATATTTTTAATGCGATTATAAATTGAAAAGGGTCTCGATTTTAATTTTAATAAAACATTCGACCACATTGCATTAAATCCGTCTTTAGCAACGGCATTGACCGCAGAAATTAAAAACAAAATGGGTATTTAAAACAACAGCAAAATAAAAACTACGTGACCATAAAGCTTTTTAATGCACTCTGACGGAGGGAGAGAAAGCGAGAGCGAGAGCGAGAGCGAGAGACATTTCGCATCGAAATTGAATCAACCCGTGTGAAAAAAAAATGACTGACTGACTATAACTTCAGTTGACTTTAGTTGATTGAATTTATGTTTTTGTTCTAAGAAAATCACTTGGTCCCAAATGAAGCAACTTAGATTGGCTTGTAACTTTAAATGATATCAGTTAACTATGATAGACTTACACTACACTTTGTACTGAAATGTCAATCAAAGTAAGTCATTTCTGTCCCAAATTAGTTAACTGACTGCTCAGTTACTATTTTTTCACACGGGAACGTATCAAAAAATAATGTATTTTTATCGATAAAATATCGTGTAAGGGAGTACCGTCTAAAATGGGCCACACTTTAACAAAAAAATATCGCACCATTTCAAAGCACCTTGAAAGCGGTGAAAAAAAAGTTACGTTATGGGTGAACCATACACGACATGTGTTTTTTGAAAGTGTATCCAATTTTCATTCATTGCTGTGGCTTTGAGAAAAAAAATGCCGAAATTATCCATTGGATTCATCGAAATGTGCCTTTGACGTACCTTGCATGTGACGGAATTTAATTGTATTAGCCTTTTTTTATAGCATTTGCATGCATTTAATATAAAAATCTTCATCTTCGAACCAATTTTTAATAATAATATTTTCTTCAACAAATTTTTGAACCATCTTATCAGTTCAGACGGTATTCCCTTACATGTGTTTTGTGAAGTAAAAACAAACGGGGTTGTCGCAGTTGCAGCAGATGCCAACATGACGTGTATTATGTTGTACAAAATCATTAAAAGCACACGACCGCTCTTGCCCGTCACTCGTTCGTTCTATAGCTGATTTTGCTGCCACTCATGATGCTGTCATCAGAAAAAATGTAAGCTAAATATATCCCATTGCCAGACATTTGTTGTCAAGAATATTTCTGTCGTTTTTTTCTCGTTCGCTCGCGGAAACCGAGTATATGACAACAATAAATCAACAGCAAAAGAGAGATTAAAATATCGTTCGTTCGTTCGTTGTACTTTAAAAGCGGTGAGTAGCAATGACAGTATAAAAGCAGTCCTTATTGTTTTAGAGTGACATGAGCTTTTTTTGGGGGTAGAAGACAACCTCCCTTCGCTTTTGGGTAGAAGACAAAATCAGGAGAAAAAAATACCCCCCTCCCCCCTCCTCAACCATTCGCAGCTGAATTGAGTGAATATATGTGTGTATGTGTGTTTTAGAGCGTTGAATGCAACATAAAAGTGCATGTATCGTTGTCGTTGTCGCTGTCGTCGTCATCGGCGACGGCAGTAGCCACATGCACACATTTACTCGCTCGTGTGTTATTTACGCACGTTCGGATGCATTTTTGCAATGTTTGCTCAAGTATCAACAAGATAATATACACCATAATACACTATGTGTGTATGTGTACCTCCCATAAAGATATTTATGATGATAAATTTTATTGGTGTTTACGTGAAATGTAGTAGAAATAGTTTTATTGGATTGGTACTCAAAGTACGCGCGTGAATGTATATGTATTGTTTAGGAAGAAGTGGCATGCGTACGCGCGCGAATGAGAGATAGAAACAAAGGTCGTTCAAAGGTGATTATTTTGTTACATTTTTGTTTTAGTCCGGGAGCACTCTGGCTAAAGAGCATAAGTACATGTCGCACTTCAAATAGCATTTTGTTCTTCTATTCTTCGGGTGTTTTCCCTTTTTGTCGTTGTTGTAATGGAAAATGCACACGTGAAGATTTATGGGATGCGTCGCAAAACGAAAATCATCACACAAACATGGCAAGAGGGATGGAAAAGTAAAAATGAATTGGGCAAATGGGAATTAGCTGTTGGGTCATCAAGTTGAAAATCAAGAATGAGATGAATGAGTGCATGCCCGTGTGAAAAAGAAATGACTGACTGACTATAACTTCAGTTGACTTTAGTTGATTGAATTTATATTTTTGTTCTAAGAAAATCGCTTGGTCCCAAATGAAGCAACTTAGATTGACTTGTAACTTCAAATGATTTCAGTTAACTATGATAGACTTACACTACACTTTGTACTGAAATGTCAATCAAAGTAAGTCATTTTTGTCCCAAATTAGTTAACTGACTGCTCAGTTACTATTTTTTCACACGGGTGGATACGAAAATGTGTGTTTTTGATACTTACGTCACTTTGTTGGATTTTCTGGTGGATTAGGTAAATTGAATTAGTGCGTGGCACTGTATTATGATCGGGATCGTCACCTTGACGCTCATAGAGTTTCTGTTGTGTTAGATTGCGTCGCAATTCGTTCAAACCGTTGTTACCTCGGCCACGGTTCGATTGTTGTTTATTTGCTGGCTTCGAAAACACGTACTGATATTGGCTTTGATCCTGCTGTTGCTGTTGTTGTTGCTGCTTCTGTTGATGATGATGTTGACGGTCTCGTGTTCGCATCGGTTGCGAACCAGTTCCATTTGCCCAATGTTCACCACACACTGGCCCAATTATCACACCGATTACGCCACAAACGAACCAAACGATCAAATAACGTGTTAATCGCGGCATATTTTGGTTCCGATATCAATAATGGCGTTACGACAGACACACTGAGATCAATTACATGACATTTTCGTCGAATGCATAATCTCATTGTACCAAATAACTGTCGTCATTATCGGCACTTTCTCTCTCTCTCTCTCTCTCTCTTTTCCTCGTTCTCGTTCTAGGTTTCGCGAACGTAATCCACGTTCGTCTATTGTATAAAATCCTTGTGTTCGTTTGGGACGTCTCTGTCGATGTCGCTTTGCTCTCTGAATAATTTAATCGTCAGGGGGATTTTGTTCTTGTCTTTCTCTTTCTCTCTGTCCCTCACTTACTCTCTCTCTCTCTCTCTCTCTCACTTGTTAAACACCAACACAGAACTTTCGATCACACTTTGTTAGCACTTTTCACGGAATGCAATCACGTTTTCTTTTGCCTTCATTTATATCTATATATAATTGTTCGCAAATTTTCACCAAATATTTTCTGATAATTTCTCTCTTTCGGCTTATTATTTTTGTTTGTCAAAAACACGCACACAAACACGTTTGTCCTATATTTTTGTCGTTACGTTAATTTCTTTATGGAGTTTATCTCACTCTCTCTCTCTCTTTCTCTTTCTTTTCCGTTTTCACTTCATCTTTCGGAGTCCTCTTCGGGGACTGCTATTTGTTCTGTTACGCGATTCAGCACTTAGCATTTTCACAAACACGAGACTTTTCCTATTTTTGTTTTATTCTTCTTTTCTATTTCTGTTTCAATTTAGTTTGGTTTTGCCAATCAATAATTCATAAACTTCGTTCCGTTAGCATTGAAATATTTCACTTCCATTTGTCATTTGCTGTGTGTGTGTGTGTGTCTGTCTGTTTATTTATGTGCGCATCTCTCGCTTGCTATGTGTCTCTCGGTGTCCTACTTCCAACCAAATTATTCGAGTGGATTTGCGTTGATTATCAGATTTAGATCCAATTTATGTTGACATCGTCCGGCTGTTATTTGTCTACATGAAAAAAAAATTGAAAACAGAAACAAACAAACAAAAAAATTATTAAGACGAACATAAAGCAAAATTGCAATAATTGAAGCGAACATTTCACGAAATTAATTCATACATAAAAACACAATCAGCTTTGAAACGAATCGAAATGAATGGCAAATTTTGGCGTTCTAAACAGAATGTCGTCGTCGCCGTCGTAAATTTTTGACGTCAGTTGTTGTTGCGGTTTGACTGTAACGTAAGTTTGCAAAAGTATAAATAACTCATATTCTACGTGGAAATTTTTTATCTAATTAAAATAATATTGCTGTGCTTTGCTTCCAAAAATACACCACGTCACCGAAAACCATACTGTTTTCTTTCTTCTCTCTTTCTCTCATGACTCATTTTTTGTCCAAAAAATATATTGCATATATTAATAATAGCAAATATGGATGCTATTGCAAAAGTTGGAGCAATATGAGCCCTGTTGGACATCAATCACCTTTGCCATTTTACCATTCCACACGTTAATCTTGCAATCAGAACCAACAAAACGCACTCGTATTCAATTCATACAACTCGAAAAATTATGCTCGTTGTTTTATTCATAACATCGCACACTGAATTTAATGAACCATTTTAAGCCACGAACCCTCTATCCTAACTCGTCAACGCTCACCCTCCTCAAGCTTGGGATTACGAACTCACAATGTCTATGGAACGATGTGATATGTGGCGCAACTAGGTGATGGCCGCAAAAGTTCTGTCAAAATTCAAACACAACCAACTTGACATTCAGTTACATAGTTGAGCTAACCCATAGTACATCCATCCATGGGCTAGGTGCGCCAACAGCGTGAAAAAATATGACAGTATATGATTAATACACAGCACCTTGTGAGTTCGGGGATTATATGGTGGCATATTAAAACGCATTCATCATTTATTCAGATTGAAAACTCTGAGCTTTTTTTTCTCCCTTTCTCGTTTGCATTCAGACGGACGATTCACACAAACAAAGCCAAAAACGGCCAAAAACCAAAGATGAAAAAAAGCAAAACACATGATATCCTCATAAAATGGTGTTTCAATTAAAATTTGATACGCAACATGCTCTCTTCATTACATTAATTACTCGTAAGCTGAATGCCACAACGGCTAAATACTACAAATCATAGCAAAATCGAAAAAGCGACCAAGAGAAAATTGGCGGCAAGAGTCATTGAATGAGTGTGAGGAAGAGAGTGGAGACGAAGTACAAACGTGTGGGAGTTGCGAGACGTCATCGTCATTTCTATCCAACAAATGAGAAAGATTTCGCTTTGACTTCGCTGAACCTGACTATACCTATAATATACGTATATACTTCGGAAAATCAAACAAATAATGTTCACAGCTCTCAAGTTATGCGATAAATATTAACCAAAAATATCCAAAAGATGCTGAGACGTGCGTCATTGAATCGCAATATCCAAATGAATTTGATTTGGGAGACAGCAAAAAGGACGCGTTGAATGACTCTAACGGCTCATCTTGTTGTGCTTTATTGTTCTCGTCCTCTTCCTTTCTCTCTCTCTTGCGTTCGCATCAAATGAAATGACAAAGTGGTCATACACACTCTCTCCAACTGAAGTACGTCAAGAGGAGGGAAAAAGTGTCGTCTGGATGGTTCTTCTGCATCGTTTGCAGAGTGTGGATTGCAAAAAGTGAAATTGAAAAAAATGTCGAATTAGCATCGCTGGAAAAATCGTTCGAAGAACCGCTCGAATTTTCTTTTATTTGAAAATAAACAATTTGCCTGGTTCTTCAAACATTTCGGCTTTTGTTTTCTCTTTTGACGCTTTCGACTTTTGTTTTTGTCTCTATTGGTTGCTTAAAAAAATGTTTCTATTATTAGCCATTGCAACAAAAAATCACTGGCGGAAAAAGTGGACCACACCATAGAAACGGACGACGAAAAAAAGCACTTTCTTTTCTCGCTGCAAAAAAAGTTCAAAGGCTTCGAAACAAGTGCGTTTTTTCCTCTGTGTACTACGCACATCAAGAATTTAAATCCGCATTTTCTCAATTACGAAATGATGATGATGAGCATTTTGTGGAAAATAATTAATTACATGGAGTGGGTGCGCTGAAACAAACGAAACAGCTGCAAATAAACACCCAAAATAGACGCTACATTCTTGTCTCTCACATTTTGGGATTTCTCTCTCTCTCTCTCTCTCTCTCTCTCTCTCTCTCTCTCTCTCTCT